GTGGTAGCCGCCCGGTACCGAAGCATTCATGTAGCCGCCGCCGTAAGGCATGCCGTAGTACGTGTACGGATCACATGCCCACGCCGTCGCACCGAACAACAAAGGATCGTAGCGTGCCGGGCCACCGAACGGGCCGCCGTACTGCTCGGGGTAGCCAGTGCGCGCAGCGGTTTCTTGCGGATCCGCCGTAGTCTGCTTCGTTCTTGCTGGCTCACGCGCCGCCGCCGGAGCTGCCGCGCTCTTCGACGTCGATGATGATGCGTTCCCGTCGCTGTGCTCTGAGGCGGCAGTAGCCGACACGTGGCTGTGGTTCTCCTGCGAGGCGGCCGGACTCCGCGATGTGGGCTCTGTGTTGCTGCCGGCGGAGCTCTTCCGATTGTCTGTGCTAGCTGATCCGCTGCCGGCGGCCTTCGTAGCGAGCAGTTTGGCGATGGCTGCACGCAACGTCAGGTTGGGGATCAGGTCGTCGGCGCGCGCCTGCGCGCCGCACGCACACCTGGACTTGGCGGCGACCTGGCCCATGATGCACACGCCGCAGAAACTGCCGAAGCAGCACCTGGAGGCCACCACCGCGTCCGCCATCACTTTGTTGCAAATCTTGCAGTGGAGCTCCGGCGGGACCCCGTCGTCGGGGCTCGGGGACGCCGGCGACGGAGTAGGCAGATTGGTGGTGGACGATGCCTTCGGCAAGTCGTATCTGGGATCGCCATTGGTGGGGCAGTGCTGGATCAAGTGCCCCGGGACGCGGCACCTGTGGCACACGTACCCGGCCGGCGGGGCCGGCGGCCTTCCTCCTACTTCTAGCGCGCCGCGGTTACTACAGCGACGCCCTCGGTGTTGGTCTTCCCACTTGAGCTGTGCGGCGTCGATCACCGCGCTGATGGCCCGGTCCTCGTCATCCTCGGCGGGTGAACTCGATGTTACGGCCGAATCCGACGATGCGCCATCACGCGTCGGCGCTTTGGGCGGCGGTGGGGCGGCGAACGTGATGACATCGGCGGGAGGCCCAGCGACCCGGCGCACCAGCACCGTCGAGCTGCGCGGGACAAGCGCACTGTCGTCCGTATACTCCTCGCCGGTCGTCGAGTCGTTGAGCGCGACGCTCTCTCTCTGCCCGCGTCCGCGCGTCCGGCCGTGGCCGTGGCGGGCGGTCCCCAGGATTAGCCGCTTCAGGTCGGCGACGGGGATAGAGGGCGCCGGCACGGGCACGGAGAAGGTGTCAACGCCGCTTTTGTACCGGTAGTACACCGCCATGCTCGCCGGCCGCTGGCTGTGGGAGGGGCTCGATGCGGCCGCTGGTCGCCGGAGAGAACAGATGCGGATGGGATGGAGGAAGCACGTTAAGAAGGGAGGCTACACTGCGAGACGATGCGAGGAATTGACGAGTGCCTCGCGTTTTATGGACTGCTGATTCGAAACCGAGTCGAACACGAAGAGCTTAATCGGACTCAGAGGAATTGAGTACCTCCGCGTTTTAGGAACCTCCGATCCGATTCGAAGTAGGGTAAAATGGCCAAACGACTGCACCGCATGGCAGGGGCATGAGCACGAACACGATTAGGAACGAGCACAGTTAGTTATCGTGCCGTGCTGCCGTGCTTGCTGATGATCTCAACTGTCACACGACACCGTGGAGCCTTAGGGCCCGTTTCTTAGATATGCAAATTCTCGTGGAAACGTTTGATATTTAGTTTCTCTTAAGAAACGTTTTGGCTGAGGAATCAGAATTACTACACCCTTTAGATGCAGAATTAAAAACACAGTGAAACCACGTTTTCAGCAATTCATATTCATAGGAACAAAAATGAGAATCACTTGCAACCGTTTATGCTAAAACGTTTTACATCTATGTCGTTTGGCACGGTTTCTGCTGATTCTCAAAAGAATCGAAACCGATTCTATGTGCCAGACGCACTACTTGTGCCCATATACACTGGCACGTCAAACCTAGGGAATAGATCAGATCAAACATGAGATTAGATCAAAGAGTTGCCGAGTTGTATAGGATTTTTTTTTTTTTGAGGTTCAGGTTTCTTACTTTCGGTTAAGTTTTTTCGGTTTAGATCGGTTAAGATCCACCGGTGAGCTCATGTGACTGTGTCGACATGGAGACCCAATACACAAATTGAAAAACTCAAGAGTTAAGAATACCAAAAAATCAAGCAAAATTCAAGTCAGAGATCCATCATCCATACATACGCATAAACAAATCGGTTATGTGTAACTAGATCAAGTCTAAATACAAAGAGTAACTTATTAGGTTTGGGTGCTGTGGTTTCACTTAACAGGAAGGGGAGATCAATGGGTGGGCGTAACTAGTGGTGCTCATTGGCAAAGGGCTCGAAAAAGACCTGAGCAGCGACGATGGCCACCCAACCGTCGACGAGAGAGAAGCATGCACGGGAGGTGTAATGAAAAAGAAAAGGCATGCCTGTAATATACAGAGAGACCAGCGTCGCTATGTTCGCTTGAACTTATCTGGCTTATCACTATGGAACAATGTTTTTCTCTCACAACAAATCAGCTTCAGCCGGTTTATCAGCCGTAGAAACCATAAGCCAGTTAGATAGATTTGTTAAGAAAAATGATACAATAAGAATAATAATTAACCTAGAGCATGTTTGGTTCTCGTGAAACATGTGCAACATTCAGATAAAACATCTTACAACATGAAAACACTTCGAGCAACATAAGACTAAAACAACTAAAACATATCGAACATACTCTTGCAACATTTGTGTGAAACATATGCAACATCCAGATAAAACACTGGCAACATACGTCTGAAACAGATGAAACATTTTGAACGAACACTTGCAACATGCATCTGAAACACTTGCAACATGCCTCTGAAACACTTGCAACATATGCAACATCTCGATCTACTTTTGCAATATCCATATGAAACACTTGCAGCATACCTCTAAAATATCTGAAACATATATTTGCAACATATGCGAGGAGGGCTGGGGCCAGTCGATTCTGGTCTCAGGAGGGAGCCGGCGGCGCGCGAGCACCACCAACACGGGTCGCGCTCATGGGTGCCCTTGGCTTGGCTAGGACCAACTTGAGGCGCGACGGTAGCACCAGCACCAACAGAGGCGGGCGACGCGCCCAACGAGCGCAGGAGCAAGCGGCCCGACCAGCAGAGGTGCGTGTGTGACGGGCAAGAGAGAGGACCGAGCGGTGTAGGCTGGGCACACACGGCGGTAGCATCGGCACCGATAGAGGCGGGTGGCGCGCCCGACGCGCGCGGGAGCGAGCAGCCCGACCAATAGAGGTGGACGCACGGGACGAGCAAGAGATAGGAGCGAGCGACACCGGCGGGGCGCACATGGCGGGGGAAGAGACGACAGTAGCGAGGCGGAGTCGGGCGCGCAGCGTCCAGACGGATGGATGCCTATGTGGGAGCATTACTGTTTTATATCTACAAAAATTAGGAGGGGCTCATTTGTCAACGTGGTGGTAGGAAGGGTTTGAGCTCCATCCACCCCACTGCTAGATGCGCCCATTTGTTACTTTGCAATCATTATGTTTTGAAATCAAATGAATCCATTCTTTCACCATTCAATGTAGTGCCGCCATCTGTTTCAATTTCATATGTTCAAAGAAAATCTATATCTCTGCCAACGGAAGAAACATGTGCAGGATGTATTATTATTATTTTTTTTGAAACTTGAAACATTTCATTGTGAAAAGATCATCAGCAACAAATATCGGGTATTATATGACACATGTTCCTCCCCCTCAACGCCACGCACACCTAAAAGCAGCTAGCACATGTGCTGCCTTATTACAGTTTCTGAACACATGAACACACTCAAAGCTAATAAAATTCGACTGACAGGGGAGGAATGCATCTCAGACAGCAAATCTTGTTTAAGCATCAACGCATCTGTCTCTAGAATGAGGTGCCCGATTCCCAAGTTTATAGCAGTCTGGACACCCGTGCAGGATGTATTATGAAACAAAATATAATCGAGTTGGATGAACTTTGAAACAAAAATGGTAACTTTAGTCGTCATTAGAGCAACTTCAGCGGGAGCACACAAATCAGGGCCCTCATTTCTAATTTAGGTGTTTTCCCAATTTTTATTGACCCTCCTTTTTTTCACAAGACAATTCAATGTGTGTTATTAAAAAAGATCGTAATGTCCTGTGTCTCTCGAAAAAGTTCAGCGGTCTTCAGCGTCACTACTCTAACTTTTTTGTGTCCTCCATGCCACTTCCGTCAGTTTGGGCTCTAACGCCGTCAAACTGCAGGTGTGAAAAGACGAAAATACCCTTAAGTCGAAATATGTTATTAATTTTTTTGAGCATCTTAACGACTTCAAATGAAAAAACTCAAAACTAGAAAGTTGTAGATCTCGTCGAGATCTATAATTTTCATATAAAAATTATTTTTATTTAATTCCGTAAAAAAATATGAATTTTCTAAGATATATTAATTATATCAAATTATTTTTTTGTGGAATTAAATAAAAATTATAAAAATTATATATCTCGACGATATCTACAACTTTCTAGTTTTGAGTTTTTTTCATTTGAAGTCGTTAAGATGCTCAAAAAAAATTATTAACATATTTAGATTTAAGTGTATTTTCGTCTTTTCACACCTGCAGTTTGACGGCGTTAGAGCCTAAACTGACAGAAGTGGTATGGAGGACACAAAAAATTAGAGTAGTAACGCTGAAGACCGCTGAACTTTTCTATAGACACACTGAACATTGCGATCTTTTTTAATGGCACAAGAAATTCCCTTTTTTTCATCTGCTCCAACAAAAGCACCTAACCAAAGCTCCAAAATCTCTTAATAGACACTGACCATCAGGACCCACCTGTCATCTTCGATCCCCCACTATCTGAGCTATCGCAACACACAGAGGAGAGAGAGGAGTCGGCGGTGGGGCGGGCCGAGGGAGGAGAAGGAGCCGCAGGGTGGTGCGGGCCGAGGAAGGGGAAGGAGCCGGTGGCCCACGCCACCGCATCCTCCTCAGTCCTCACCGGCGGCCTCTTTGCTCCTCCCCTGTCCCGACGGAGGCGAGAAGGCGAGCGGAGCGGGGACGGATGGCCACGCCCGCGGCGGAGCAGCGCGCCGCGCTAGAGAAGGCGCCGAGCACCGGCGCGAGGGGATGCGCGGCCATGGCCATGAGGGAATCGCGCCAGAAGGAGTGCGCCATGGCCGCCTCGTCTCCACCTCCGCGAGCAGTGCGCCATGGCTGTCCTGTGCCGCCGCGTCCGCCGAAGGAAGCCGGATCTCGCGACGACCGGAGGGGAGGCCGAGGGCAAGGGCCGCCGGAGGTAGGGGAGGGAACCGCCGGAGGTGGCGGAGGGGCCGCCGAGCTGGAGCTGGCCGTGCGCCGCGAGTTCCGTGTGCGAGCGGGGAGAGAAACGATCGCAACAGTGTGTTTGGGGCTGGCATCAGACCCAATAGGAATCGGGTCCATGGTGGAAATTTTGGTGCCCAGCCAAATTTGGGATCCAAAGTAGGGGGCTGCTGAGTTGGATTTTGGTCTAAGCCTCCGTATTTAGCTATAAGTGTTAAGTAGTGAACATGCTGGAGTTGCTCATAGCTGCATTAGCGCGCGTTCAGTTTCACCTTAAATTTCCAAAAAGTGCTACAGTAGTCATCACATTAAATGTTTGCGGTCTGTGCATAGAAAGCATTAAATGTAGACGAAAAACAAACTAATTACACAGTTTGGTAGAAAATTACGAGACAAACGTTTTGAGCATAATTAGTCTATGATTGAACACTAATTAATAAATAAAAACAAAAGTGCTACAGGACCCCGATTCCAACTCACTGGAACTAAACACGCTCTTAGTGTACGCTGTACAGTACACTGTGTACTAGATGACGTTGACTATTCCTAAATCCATGCGATTTTCACAATTGTCCTTTTTTTTAATGGATGTATGTACACGCACACGCCGCACTATGTAGAATTTTTCTAGTCTTTCGGACTGTTCGTTTATACTGAAATTTAACTTATGTTAATATTTATACTAAAATTTGACAGTGAGTTCTAAGCGAACAGGGCTTTTGGCTCCCTGCACGGATCAGTGAACTCTCTATCTTAACGGACCACACAAGCGACGTTGATGCCCGATTACACCAACCTTAACCATCCTCCACCGGCTGCCCTCTCTCCTCTGCTACTGCCAGCAAGGCGAGCCCTCGAACCTTCCAGTTCCACTCCATCCATCGCCGCCCTCCTCCTGAGCACCCGAAACAAGAGCAGCAGCAGCCGCCGCCGCCAACAAGCAGAGACGGCTACGGCGGCGCCCGCGCGCGCCCTCCCGACGATGCGGCGAGCCACACTCCCGCTCGCGCTCGGGCTCTCCCTCGTCGCCCTCTTCGCGGCCCGGGGCGCCGACGCCTCAATCCACGAGTACGGCGGCGGCGGCTTCGCGCCGCGGGCCAACTCCTTCTTCTTCCACGGCGGGAGCGAGGGGCTCTACGCGTCCGACTCCTCATCCAACTCCTCCGCATCCTTCATCAGGTACACGCGCCTGCCACCGCATCCGCCCGGTCCTCACTCCCTCGGCTCGACTCGCCTTTCCCCGCGCGGCCGCGCCCCTAGGGTTTTGCGGATCGCGTACGCATCGAGGGGGTGCTGGTGGGCAGGATCAGATGAGACTGTTGAATGCGGCGCATTTCGTTGATCTCGGCCGAGCTAGTTCCAGGGCAATAGTGTGTGCGACAAGTAGTGTAAGAGGGTTTGGTTGGGACGGTAGGAACTTCTGCCGACAAGTTGCGTTCCTCGTGGTTGCGTCTTGAGTGTTTGCCCCGATTTTTAGGGCTCCGGCTGTTTCTTTTTGGTATTATGTGTTGGATCAAGTGGAAATTCTTGCAATTTTGTGCTCAGGTAGACTGATCTATTGACTTAGTTGGAAACAGCTTCTAAAAGGTAGTTATTGTTTTATGTGAGTCGTGATCTAGTGTATGTCGCAGTCAGTCTGTGTGCTCAGTTAGTCGCTTGTGACCCACTATGTTGCAGGCAGCTTGAAGCCTTGACTACTTATCTTTTTACTGTTAGTTCTTAATTTGCATCTTGGGTATTTGCCATTCCTAGGGTTCTTGCTGCTGCTTTTGGTATTATATATGTGAGGAATCGAGCCATTTGTTTTACAATTTGGTTTCATGTAGGTTGATCTGTTGACTTGTTTGGATCAGCTGCTAAAAGTTAGTTAGTGTTATATCTGAATTGCAGTGATCTAGTGTGTGTCACAGTGCGTTTGACCACCTTGCATAGTTCAGTTTCTTTGTTTTGGCTGCCATGTTATGACTTATGGGGCTCAAATCAGGGAGCATTACTGCATCTTTGCACCAAGCCTCCAATAAGGGGATACAAACAATCACTGTTTGGATGGTGTGTATCCTTTATTTATCAAGTTCTAGTATGATTGGCATGCTCTGATGCCATGAACATGCAAAAGACAGTAAAGTTAGCTTAGGTTCTGTATCATGGCACATGCTGTGTCACTGTTATTACTGTGCAGAGCAGTGGAATAGTGGACATTAGGTCAACTGTTTTGGAGCATCCATTTCATTAAGCTTTTTGTTCACAAACAATTTCGTGGTAAACAGCATGGGTTGACAACAAAGTATCGTGACAATAAGAATGACATGGTTAGATGTCTTTCAAATCTTTACTCTTCTGTGATCTAATGGACTAATCTTCCAGATTTGACACCGTCGTTTTTCGTCGCACCCTGGAGTCAGCATCTAGGCATGAGGAGATGCAGCAAAAGACAGGATTGGTGGAGGCTATAATTGTTGAGATACAGGACAGGGACAAAATTGGAGGTTCATACCTGCACTCTGATGCAATATGCTGCACGCCTGAGCTTGATAAGGAGAAATCTTGTAGAGTAGGTGAGCTGATCATACGTCCAAATCCTGAGAACCCTGACTGGCCTAAGAGGATCCAGACATTCTTTGATGGCAAAAATGAAGAAACCACTATGGTAACTCAAATTGTATCGATAAACAAAACAGGGATGTATTACCTCTATTTTATGTTCTGTGATCCTCAACTTAAGGGATTGAAGATTACAGGAAGAACTGTTTGGAGAAATCCACAGGGTTATCTCCCTGGTAAAATGGCCCCAATGATGACATTTTATGGTTTCATGTCACTTGCATATCTTGCACTTGGACTTCTATGGTTCATTCAGTTCGTGCGATGCTGGAAGGACATTTTGCAGCTGCATTACCATATAACGGCTGTTATTGCTCTTGGCATGTGTGAAATGGCTTTCTGGTATTTTGAGTATGCTAATTTTAATTCAACTGGAACCAGACCTATGGGCATTACCTTGTGGGCAGTTACATTTACAGCTGTGAAGAAGACTGTTTCTCGGCTTCTTCTATTAGTAGTTTCGATGGGCTATGGTGTTGTTCTACCCACATTGGGTGGCATAACATCAAGAGTTGCTGCTCTTGGTTTCATCTATTTTGTTGCTTCAGAAGCTCTTGAACTTGTTGAAAATCTGGGAAACATCAATGACTTCTCTGGAAAGACAAGGCTATTCCTAGTTTTGCCTGTTGCTGTACTTGATGCTACCTTTATCATCTGGATATTTTCATCCCTCTCTAGAACTTTGGAGAAGCTGCAGGTAACCACTTTCTGGCCTTACTAGTCCCAGAATATGTTTCCTTTTACTTCCTCCATACCAAAATAAATGCACATTATGCTTCTCGAGGAGTCAAACTCTTTTCAGTTTGACTAGTGGTATAGAAAATAGTATCAATATTCTTATCTTCAAATAAGTTCATTATAAAAGTACCTTCTACGATCTATATAATGATACTTATTACATGTCATGAATATTAGTACTTTTATGCATATATTTAGTCAAACTTAAAAAAAGTTTGACTCAATGATAAGAGAGATGTGCATTTATTTTGGGACGGAGGGAGTATGTTTAGTACTTTAGTGGTTATGCATCATGCATCCTGTTACTATGAAGTAAGGTCATGTATGATTGATTCTAGCACTTTCAGTCTTTCTGAAAAATATTTAAATGGCTTCACAGTGCGTTCGCTTACATATTTGCAATCCTTAGCTACTTACACATCATATTAATCTCCCAGTACTAAATTATGACTGTGCCTGTCATGTGTTTTACATGCTCACTATTGCAAAGTAGCCCTGCTTTTGTGCCTATATCTTGACAAATGACTCTCCCGGCGTGTCACATACCCAGTGCTCATCTGGTTTTAATTTTATTGCAGCTGCGGAGAAGCATGGCAAAACTTGAATTATATCGAAAGTTTACAAATTCTCTGGCTGTGTCAGTGCTTATCTCAATCGCTTGGATTGGCTATGAGGTATCTTTTATCAACTCTAAAGTTCATTTATGTGGTCCATGTAATGTAGATATCATATAGCCACTAGAAAGCAATTGCCTCATGGGAATGAGCATAGGAGCAAGAACCAAGTTCTATGTCGTTTCCCCTCTTCTATGTGGTGATCATAAAATAGGTTTGGAGATGTCCATAGACAATTTATTTTAGCCATTGTGACCATAGATCTGCTTGATAAATGTTTGAGAAAAAAAATTCTGAAACAATACCCTTTTTTCTGCAATTCATATTGACTGTGGTCTGCCTTGTTTTTGTCTTGAATCAGCTATATTTCAATGCAACTGATCCGTTGAGTGAACTTTGGCAACGGGCTTGGATCATCCCCTCCTTTTGGAATGTCCTTTCCTGTGCCCTCCTTGCCATCATATGCATCCTTTGGTCTCCATCTCGCAATCCAACAGAGTAAACTTTTGACTATGGTTTTCATTTTTTCTCATTTGTGTTGGATTGTTTGTTTGAGTTGGTTTTCCTTCTTGTAAACAATGTGTTTGTGGTGTCAATTGTAGTACCGTATCTCATCATATAAGCTGTCATTGTCATCGATTTATACTACACCCTGTCAAGAAGGCTTATTTGCTTATTGCAGATGGTTGTTTTTAGCAGCAGCACAAGCATATACTCTGAAACAGATTTACAATCATATTCTTTATTTCTTTATGATATTCATAATGAACTTTGCTGTAAAGCAACTTCTATGATCCTTAAGATGTTCCCTATTCAACTATATATTAATCCATTTATTCTTCGGAGATGTATATTTCATGTTGATAATTAATCTCAGTTAAGCATGTCAATTCCTGATACAGCATGGAGTTTTTAGCTGTGTACTTCCCCGATTCCCAACTTAGGTTTTCACTGTTCCTGTCATGTACAGGTTTGCATATTCAGAGGATGCAGGTGAGGGAGCTGATGAGGAAGGGCTCTCTCTAGTAGGCAGTGCAGTGAAAGGAACTGGAGATATGGTAAACATGCATATCTTTCCGGAGGATAAACGTGCATGATAAGTTTTGGCCTGAATGCAGCTGTACTCCTGGCAGAATGCTATGGTATGTGCTCATTTTGTCAGGAAGTGTACATATGAATGCATGCATTGATGGCATCTACTGCCCTACTAATGTTGTCTAATGTCTTGTAGCATGTTAGTGCATGGTGAACTTGATTAGTGAACTACATGGTCCAAACTGACTTTGACTATATCCCTAGGCTTCTTGTTGAGTGAGCTCAAAGCTTTACCCCAGATCGTAATTGACTTAGCTCCTTTCTTGAACCTTGCCTCTTATCTTTTAGTCAATCCTGTTCCTATGGCACATATTTATTTATTGCACATTTGCACTCTTCTTAATTTTACAGCAACGAACAGTAAAAGGCTAAAAGCCATTTCCCTTATACACACAAAAACTATCAGAGTCTTCTAGGTTGCTTTTGTTACCAGCCGTAGGACCTTTCTGTATGTGTGCATTAGGGCAGCGCACCTTTTGTATAACAGCCTCAATTGCATTTAAGTGCCATTTCCCTCTGAATTTTTGTGTAATCTTTTTTAATATTTTGTTCTCACTGCAGTGAAGTACCTTTTTCCTCTGGATTCACAACTACCTGACATCTTCTAAAAAGTTTGCGTAAGATTCCAGATGTACAGGTGGTGACTTGTGTTGAACGATTTGACCAAAAGATTTTTACTTGTCCAGTTGTGGCTACTCAATACAAAAGGTCGGCACAATAAACTATCACTTTGAGAGCATAAGAGGTTAGTCTTTGTAATCCTTGTGATGGTGATGTAACTCGTAGGAGGTTGAAATGTATCATTGCCCGAGCTGAAATATATAAAAAAATGTATCGTGGATCTAATGATATATTTGCGTTTGATTAATGCACTTATCGTGTTATTAGGCCCTGTTTATCCACCCAGCTAATGGTTAGATGCAAAAAATTAGCTGGGTGTCAATTATTAGCTGGCTGGACACCTGGTTAACAACTATCCTCTCCGTCTTGAATAGTAAGCGTAAGAGTATTTTGATCAGAGAAAGCCATACGCAATTAGAAAGTTAACCAACATGTAGCAATCTTTAGAGGACGATTCCTTTATGGTGTTTTGGCTTGTGGAGTCTTCTCATGCTTTATGGGACGATGCATCGTAAGTTTATCTCGTAATTTTGGTAGAATCAACTGATTAATAATGTATATAATAATTATTAGCTTGTGAGGATATAATAATTATTAGCTTGTAAGGAATGAGAGTGATTAGTGATTGGTTCAACTCATTTCATTTCACAAATTAAATAAAAAAAGGTGAGAAGCGAGAAAAAGACAAAACACACGATCAGTTTCCAGTCTGTACGCTAAGAGAGCCGAGCTAGATCCTTCGGTTTCCAACCTGTGCGCTGAGACAGCCGAGCTAGGCTTGTATCAATGAGTGATCGTTTGCCTGGTGTGGGTTAACTTTGGTAGTTTGCTTATGGTTTAGCTTGGTGGCTTGATATACAAGTGGTTTTTAGGGGGGAGTGCTGGCGTCCGTCCATCGGACAATAACCCCCGGCCGATACTATTCCCGCCTACTTTACCCGCCCACTTTTTCTGCCCATAGTAGCAACGCCCTGGAGCTTTCCGCCCACCGTAACCCACGCGGCAAGTAGCGTGCGCGCGGAGACGGCGCAGGCTGTCCCATCGCGTAGGTCCCACTCGCCCCATCACTTTTAAGAAATTAAAAAAATCATAACTCTTAAACAAAACATCCAAATTAAATTCCGATTACATAATCAGAATTCTTGCAATAAATCCTTCAAAACAAAGTCCACATAGATATATTTAAATATTTTTTAACGAACATTTGTCTTATAAAGATAGAACATTTTACATTATTCAGCAGAGACGATGTTCTAGGTTCAAAGAACAATGTTTCGTCTTTGTAAGAAGAATATTCTCAGTTTAGGTTTATGAAATTGGTATTATAATATACATAAAAATAATTAACATAAATACATAACATAAATAAAAAAAATAATGAAATCTAGAACTAAGCATAAGAAAAAAATACGTAATAGAGAAAATTTTAAAAGAATATACTTTTCAAACATCATAAAAATATACTATAGAATATCATATATATACTAAGTGAACATCACTAAATACACCATAGAACATTAAAAAACATAATAGAACACCACAATTGTACTACATGAATATCACAGAATACATCATAGAACATCATTATACACTATGTGAACACCACAAGTATATTACACGAACATCACAACATACATCATAAAACATCACATTTATATCACGTAAACATATGAAAAACATCATAGAATATCACATTTATAACACATGAGCATCATAAAAAATATCATAGAACATCACATATATACTACATGAACATCATAAAAAACATCACAGAACATGACATTATATACCACGTGACCATTAAAAAAAACATCATAGAACATGACATCTATACTATAGACATAGTATCTCATGGAATGTAGAAAATAAAAAATTAAATATAAAAAATAATTAAGTAAGGTAAAATAGGAAAATAGAAAAATAAAAAAGAAAAGAAAAATCACATGAAACGAAAAAGAAACAAAATTAAAAAAATAAATGGAAGAAACAAAATAAAAATTTAATAAGAACATGAAAGCAAAAAAAGAAAAGAAAAGAAAAAAGAAATAAAAGAAACATAAAAATGAAAAATGAAAATAATAATAAAAAACATATAAAACAAAAAATATAAATAAAAATGAAGCTTGAAAACAAAAAATAAAAAGGGAAAAGAAAAGAAAAAAATAAAAATAAAAATAAAAAGAAAATAAAAAATAAAACATACGTACCTACCTACCTGGACGGAAAAGAAAAATAAAAAAAAGAAAGGAAAAAGAAAAGAAAGAAAGAGAAAAAAGAAAACATACATACCTACCTACTTGGACGCTGCCGGAAATCCCGTGCCCAGCGAGCAGAGCGCGCTCGCTCGTGCATGCACGTGGACCACGCGTGGGAGTCGCTACTGTGCAAGCGCATCGCGCGGGAGCCGTTCGGCGCACGGCTTCCGTCCGGCCGTTCGGAGACGAAGAATCGCGTTTTTTAGGGGCCTCTCCGGCTGACTAGAGACGGCAACGGACACAAACCCGTTGGGTTTTGCCATCACAAACCTATGCCCATGATAATAAAATGTACCTGTTTAAAAACTCATAATCCATCGTAAGTTTAATTTTGTGTCCAAACCCGTCATGGGTACCCAACGGGTCACCCGTTCCCGCAAAAGCAAGCACACCATGTCAGTGCTATTAAGCATACATATTCACAATTATCATATACTCATGTATATATACTACATAGTACAATGAAAAATAACAAATGATAAATTAAATTTCACCAACCATACTGAGCCACCATAGTTCATATGTTAATGGCATACATATATCAACCGGTCAGGATCTCAGCCTTAGTATTGCCGGGTGCGTGAGGGGGCCTTTTCGTTCTTAGTACTGTACGCTCTGCCTTGTATCAAACTTTTGTAACTCCATTGCTTTAAGGCAATGAAATTCGGTTTTGACCGTGGCGGAAAAAAGTGAAATATTTCAGGTAGGGGTTTGTTTAGTTGGCAAAATTTTTTGAAAAATGTTACTGTAGCACTTTCGTTGTTATTTGACAATTAGTATCAATCATAGTCTAATTAGGCTTAAAAGATTCGTCTCATAAATTTCGTCTAAACTGTGTAATTAGTTTTATTTTTTATTTATATTTAATGCTTCATGCATGCGTACAAAGATTCGATGTGACGATAAATCTTGAAAAATTCTGTAAAATTTTAGGAACTAAACAGCCGCTAGGTGCCATTTCATCCAAAACATTACATCAACGCAATTAAAACTGATACATCCAGAAATAAAAGTTCGATGTGGTTTGGAACCACTACATTAGGGAACTGGGCCTCGTATTGCTGTAAATAAAATGTAAAATTCCAACAGCGCAAGCCACTACAGCTAAACCCTCAGGCAGCTGGAAGAAAATGAAGATGGTTAACATATAGTCAGAGATACCAAAAAGAAAAAAATGCCAATGCGAAAAGAACTTGTATCTATTTATGTTTTTATTTCCTAAACACAAACTACGAAGCGCTACCTTAAAATACAAGTGTATGTATCGCTGTGTCCCATATCTGTACAATTGTCCATTACTAGCCCCCGAAGGCCCAAGCCTTTTCGTCACTACCAGTACAGTCAGTTCCCTTTGTCAGCAGCTCCATTGCATTCTGAAGCCTCTTCCACGAGCCGAATTTGTACACCTTACCAAATTTTGTCCTCTGCGTATAATCTAAGCCAAAACAAGAAATTAATCATAAGAATAAGCTCAGGCACTAGTATATACTGTAAACACTAGCAAGCTTGATAACAGAAGAATATCCAAGCCTGACCTACTGATTACTGAAACTGCAGTTTGAAACGTTTTTCAATTCTATAGAAAACTGCTAATTCCTGATACAGTTACAGAATCACAAATATAAGCAGATTTAGGCCACTTTAGCTCTTGAGGCTCCAAACAAGTGGTCTAAAGTGCTGTCTAAAGTTTAGCCAGCCTCACAAAAAAGCTATTTGTTTGTCATACCACACAAGTGAGTTAAAGTGGCAAACTAAAATTTAGACCATGGGATCCATAGGCTACAAGATTCATCATGGAAACCGATTTCATAATATATCTTTTATTTTCTATTTGGCATAATATATTTTTACAGAAACTGGTAGTTGAAGCTTTACCATGTAAACCAGTCAATGTCCATGGCAGGTACAAAATACCTCATATAAAAGGGGTAACAAACAGAACTTACCAAAATTTCGACAAAAATCAGCTCAACAAATGAATCAACACAGCCTCAAATTCAGATTGACAAAATAACTGTGTGAAACCGTTGTTAGCTGATGTCACTTGCAGGCCTTGAACCCAACTGTTGGGGCAGCTTTTTAAAAAGCTCAGCTTCTCTTGCTATTTGGATATCAGATGGCCAAAAGGTCTGATATACTACTTTACAAAGGAACCGAGGAAGCAACCCAAGGACTATTATAAGGCAAACACTAAGCCAATAAGTCCTTGAAGCAGCCATGTTGTAAATTGTCCTGCCAGGAATAAGAAAATAGAATCACATGCTATTGCCATAGGTGATAAGTAAACCAGTCAGTCAGAACTTACCCATAGTTAGGGAAAATGGGTATAGAGTCAATTAACACCATGCATAAAAACGTAGCAGCTATAGAACCCCATACAGCAAGATGGGTTATAAGCACCCAACGTTGAATGTCCATGGCTAGATGAATATTGACAATTATAACCACAGCAATTGTCCACAAACTTCCCATACTCCATATGTCCATTGTACTGATATTGTATGTGAAGAAAGGGACGTAGAAAAGGACAAGGCTTTGCCACAATGTATCGAGCATTGTGATCCAGAAGAGTGTCAAGTTGTAGCCCTCATTTCGAAGCCCTGCCTCATATAGTCTCGGGTAACAAAGAAGGGTATTATGACTTAAGTTCTTGTCGAGAATGCCAACTACTACCGTTGGAACTGATGTGTATATAAGGGAATAGAAAACACTGCTCCAATCTGTTAATGCCAGAGTTGCAGAATAAGCCGTATATAGGATATACCTACACACATGAGGAAATATGTTTAGAAAATCAAGATATATGTGATAATACAAGTTGGTCTAAACTCTGATGAATCTCAAAGGGAACAACTACTGTAAGATGGAAAGCCCTTACTGCCTGTTTATCCTTGAATCAACAAAATACATGTCAAACTTTTAACATATCAAGATTCATGAGATAACACATATGAATATAACTATGTGCAAATCAATTCTCTACAATGAATCATACATGGCACATGGGCATGCACACAAAGATCAATTCACACCATCACCAACTCTGTCTTCTAAAGTAGCAAAGAAAAACAGTATTATACTTTGTACCGGTAAAATTTTGAAATTTGAATGCTTAAGCACACACACAAAAAACAGAGACCAGAGGTTCAAAAAAGAAGAAAGGTACATAGAGGGGAAGATCGTACCAGAAAAGCATTAGCACGAAGACAGCATTCCGGTAGAAGTTGTACAGGATCATGTATGCGATACGCTGATAATTCCAGTGCCCATGTACAAGAAGTAATCTCTTCAGAAAGCGGAATTGACCCATAGCAAAGTCTGAAGCCATCACTGCCTGACGACCTTCTTGACCGCATATGCCAACACCAACGTCTGCCATCTGTATCATTGAAACATCATTTGCCCCTGCCAAAAGATGAAACAGGGTCAGGAAACCGGAAGGAATGATAGACTCTGTTTCCTTTGTATTACTTGGAAAGTCAAAGTGTGGAATAATAGGTAGAGTCCCAAGAATAAGATGAAAAAAAGGTGCTGCTGATGTTAGTAAAGCTAAAGAAACAGTAGTATTTATATCATTCGTAGGACTGCTAATTCCCCATAGGGTAACTATAATTTTCCAAGGTCAAAGAGCACCTGACCAATTTGAAACACGACAAAAAAACAAATGTAAGTGAAAGCTAGTTTTCATTTCATTCTGGGCAATCAAATCCTTTTATCTCCTACGTGCCACTGAAAGAAATGGTCTGTGCTAATTGTTAGGTTCAAGAGACACAGTGAAATTGTAGAGTATAAACTACTACCAATACACACTCGAACTGGATTCTTTCAAACTGCAAATATCAGACATGGACAGGTACATCAAAACACTGCATCAAATGTTTTAAGGGTGCTTACAATATACTTCAAAATAAGAGAAACAGTATAAGAAAGTATACAATGGAAAACCCAAAAAAGAGGACACAAATTACCAGAGTTTCAACTCTACCTAAACTCTTAAAGGTGGTGGTCTTCAGTCATTGCTCATTATTACTAACAATTAGCCCATAGAATTTCAACGATTGGTTGGCCAACAGATGGAATAGAGAAACACGAGGCACTAACTAGCAAAGAATCAGATTCAGTATCTCACCATCACCAATTGCCAGGGTCATGTCACTCGTTCTGCTTTTAATCAAATCAACAATGCCAGCCTTTTGCAGAGGAGCAACACGGCAACAGATGACAACTTTACATGAAGTTGCCAAGTCAAATAACTGTGAAATAGAAAGTAGTGAAAAGTTAATGAAGAATGAAGGGGCAACAAATAAGCTTCAGTTTGACACTTGTATCTGCAGATATTTCTTATGTATTGAGGAATGATATGCAGAAGTGGTTGTGCATTTAATAAACCAATATATTAAGAATATGCCACAATAATAAAAGCATCAATAACAAACCTCTGATTCAAGATCTTTCTCTAGAATATACACAAGGGAGCTTCCATCAATTATCAGTGCTAACTCAGTGCCATCAAAATTTGTCACTTTCTCATTGTACTCTGACTTGTCACCAGCAATAACTCCGGTTAGTTCAAAGTTTTGTACTGCACTTTCAGACAGGTGGCCGTTTGAGGGCCTCAGTTTAAAAATATCACCATGGTACAAATCTTCTGTACCTTGCGAATCCCGCCCAAAATCAGCCGACTTTATTCCAAATTTGGCTTTAGCCTCAGCTAGAAGACGCCTGCACTCAACCTCTGAGGAACCATTTATGATGATCGAATGCATGGTTTGAGTCAAGAGTCGACATGACAAACCAATCGATATAGCAGTTTCTTGCTTATCTCCTGTTAGAACCCACACCTTGATTCCAGCCTGTCTCAGAGACTCAATGGCCTCAGGAACACCATCCTGCAATTTATCCTCAATTGCAGTTGCACCAAGAAGGGTCAGATTGCATTCTACCAAACCTGCTGCCTGACGGAGCTTTGCTGATCTCTCATGCATGGAGGTACTAGCTTCTTCGTACCTTTCCTGCCATTCACTGAATTCTGCATCTGTCAGGTTTTTTGAACCGATGACCAAGGTTCGTAAACCCTCTGATGAATAAGCTGACAAATGATTTTCTGTAGCTTCTCTAATTTTAACATGCAGCGAATCATAAACTCCATCACCAATTTCTACTTTCAAAATGCTTAACATTGATGTGTCAGCACCTTTCACAAGAACCTTTACGTTGTTGTCCGGAAACCTTACAACAACAGACATTCTTTTTCTCACACTATCGAATTCATGGAGACCAAGAACATCCAACCTGATTATGACAATGTAAGATTGGTAAGTAAATATACACTCTGAAAAAACAAAGGTGCAAAATGAATTCATTGGGACTGATACCAGCAGTGGCTACAACTTTGTCAGAGAACTCAGAGGGTAGCAGTATTTACCTTAACCTCTCGCCTAGAACATCTATAACAATGTGTCCAGTTGTTCTTTCCGCGAGGGTATACCCGTAAGCAGAGGCTGCAGTTACTAAAGCCTGCTCATCAGGTGATTCACCCTGGTAATCAATTGCACCTGTATCATCCACTTCATTTGTCAAATCGTGAGAACTCTCTGTGCTAACTGGAATTACTGTGTTGCAGGCAGCCAGAGTAAGAAAAAAATCATGAGCAGCAAGTCTTTCGTCCCCAATCAATAGTTGATTCAAAAGCGCCATGAGTGCCACATCAACATTGACTTTAGGCTTCCTGCCACTTTGTCTCAATGACTCTGCAAAATGAGACAAACTTAAGCATTGGCGGGTAAGTGATCTGGAGCTCAGATCTAGAAACTGAATGAATAAAACACAACTGAGACCAAAATGAAATCGTTATATTTGCAGTCAAAAGGTAGGAAATCTGAAAAATTCTAAATTTTGCATAGTGCAGACGAGCTTTCAAAGACTTTCTATAAAAACATGGACCTTGGGCAGGAACTTGCTGGCTGTTCGTTTAATCCCAGACACTTCATATTTTTTAATTTCTGACCTCCAATAAGGTATCATCTCATGTAGATCAAACAAAAGAATACAAAAATGGCATACTCGCTAAGTCACCATGAGCTACAGTACTCAAGGCACCTACAGAGGTTTCCAGTTTCAAGCACGGACATGGAACCAATGGTTTAGACAATAATATAGTTGGTCCACTATCATAGCATGGTAGTACCAAGCAGCCAAATGGGGAGACCATGCTTTGGCTGTTTTTGTCAATAAGCTGTGGGAAAGGCAATGTGACGTTTTCTTTCTTCTGATTGGAGCATAGACTGTTTAAGTAAGATACAAGGACCAAAGATAACAATGAAGTTAACTATTTATGAGCTGCAGATTACAGAACTCCATTAAAAGCTATGGTGGGAGGTGGAAATTTAAACTCCAGGTTCAACCTAATACATAGTAGTGATGGATGGAATATAGCCCAACTATGGTTGATTTTCAGCTTTCTCCTAAAGAACAAGTTAAAAGGCTCAAAAGTCAAAAGTTCTTACAGCAAGAAAGAGTGGTTGGTCCCAAAAAAAAAAAACAGAGGTCAGTTGCCTTGCCTGTAGTGCTTATTTCATGTGAAAAGTCACTGGTGACTTGCAAGGAACTGCCATAGTTCTTCCCGTAGATGCTAGCTTGCTGAAATTCCATCTTGTTTTGTGTCAAAGTGCCTGTTTTGTCAGAAAATATGTATCGGATTTGTCCTAGGTCCTCATTGATATTCAAGGATCGACACTGAAATCTTGAACCTGAACTACTGTCATACATCCGTGTATCTCCAATCATGAAGTATGATTGCCCCACCCTGACTAGCTCCATTGTGATGTACAGAGATATCGGTATCATTATCTGAAAGATTATCACAGAACTGAGGAAGGAGAAAAATATCTCTAAAGCAATGCCATAAAACTTGAAATCTTTTCGATTCTCACGCCCAAAGGTGAAGTACTTTCTTCTGTAGTATGGCAGAGCATCCAGGTTTTTAGAATTTTTAAACAGCCAAACCCCCATCCCAGTAGCCACAACTGAGCATGTGATCAAGAGGAAAGCCGACAACCAAAGTGTTTCCCTGTTCATATAACTCTCTAGGTTGCTGCTCTTTGAAGGAGATATCGTGCTATTCAACATAGCTTTTGTCTCCTGACCAGCATAGACAACAACCCCAATAATCCATTCAGTGTTTTTAAGTTGGCATCCACGTAATACTATGTTCGATTGTCCAAGCGGAACCCTCTGACTGTTCAACTCCATGGTAGCTGTAAACTCGTAGATATTTCTGTTGGGCTGTTCACATTTGATCAAGCCTGAATATGCATTGTCATATATCATGGAAGTAGTTTCCTGGCGAGCATACCTTGTTTTAAGGTTTGACTCACCATCTAAATTCATAGTTTGGATATAAGCTATACCATTTGGATCGCTCGTACCCAGGAGAACCATGTCACACGGCATGGTCTCGTTGGCATGAATTTTGACAACCTCCCCTGCACAAATGTTTTTCCACTTTTTCGACCGAAAATCACCATGTTGAAGTACGAGTGCCTCTCGGTTATTTTCATTTCTGTCAGATCTGTGACGCCGCCAGTCTTCATATCCATCTTTTATAGCAGTCACAAACAACACAAAGAGTAGTGGGAAAAGAGAAGCAGTTCTTCCAAATACAGCTAAAGGAGGGAGCTGGTTAAGAGCAGCTATAACCAGGAAGTATACATATGCCAGCCGGTGAAACTGTATGAAGAGGTTCTTAGGCAGGAACGTAATAAAAGTATACTTGCTTGTCCTGATCTCATTCCCTGTAAATTCATATCGATCATTTGTCCTGTTAGGATCATTAATGTAAATTAGCCTTGGCTCATGCTCGGATAAAAATGGATCTTCAAACTGTGAGCTCTTGTTCCTGATTCTCTGGGAGCGATTTGGCTTCTCATGGGAAGAAGATACCATTCCAATCTCTAGGGATGATGGAGAATGCTGCATCTCCATTGCACCACCCCAAGAAACCTTCCGCTGCCTCTCCTTCTGAGAGCATTCCACTGAGAGACAATGGAAGAAGTGTGAATCAGCAGACTGGAAGCGTTCTGCCACTCTGCTCACATCAGACTCCTCCCGTAAATGTCTTGGTTGAGCCTCTCTTTCATCCGTGAGTGTGACAGAAGCTGCTTCACAATCCTCGTACAGTGATGAAGAGAATGAATCAGTTGCGCAGAGGCAGCCTAATGAGCCTACCGAAGGCCGAGCAGGTGCCTGATGCTTTGAAGGTGAATCTGCACTCCAGATGATGACAGGAGGAAGGGATCACCAGTAGTCATATATAACCTCCACCTACCAACCCCTGCATCATTGGAATAAGGACTCTAGCTACCAGAAGGATGGGCTCAGTTGCACGATGCAGGCTTCCAGCACGCTATATGCTGAACCCATCTCATATTTGCACAATTTTTAGCACCAAGCACGGCTCCACGCATACAGATTACTCCAACCTATTGAAACAAAACATATAACAAAAACTTTAGTCTCATCATTCATCAATCAGTGTAGTACTGTAAGGACAACAGCTAATAACAGGTTATTGGAGCACAATTCGACGAGCTACAACTCAAAGCTGGATGAAGAACTCCACAAGCTTCTACTGGATGCAGGTAACTTGAAGCAAAAACAGCTTAATCAGCAGCTATTGAGCTTCGTAAATACACAGAACAGGAAACAATATTACTCGCGCAAAAGGGAAAAAAACTCGAAATCTTATCCATCAATGAGTACCGATTCAAGCACCTAAAATCCAAATTTTCTAAGACCGGAGCTACGTTCATAAGCTGGACCAAAGAATTCGCACTACTTTCACTGAATAAAATCAGCGGATAAACCCCCCAAAAAATACTTTACAGAGAACATTTCCCAGATCGCGCCAAAGGGGGACAACCGGGGGACCAGGACAGGATCAGGACACGCACCAGCAGTCAGGCCACCTCCGGATCGAGCCAAACCAATGCCGAGCTTGGCGTGCGGCGACGCCCACCCTGTCGGCGCGGCGGATCCGGCGGCGCGCCTCACGCGGATCTGACCGCGCGGCGGCGGCAGAGACGGCGACTGCGGCGGCGCGCTCCCGGGGTCAGATCGCGCGGATCCGGCTGCGGCTCGCGGTGCACCTAGTAGGATTTCAACCGAGAGACGGCGGACGGCGACGTGTAGCGAGGGGAGACGCGGAGACGCCAGGCGGCGGAGCGGAGATGTGTGGTGTGAGACGAGATGAAGTTTTTTTTTTCCTCGCTCTTTCTTTTTTTTTCGCGTTCGCGATATCGAGGGACGGGGAGGGAGGAGGAGGTGCTGGACGGGTGGAGGAGCGCGAATTATTCACCTGATTCGACGTGTGCGTGCGTGTGATTTGTTGCGGCGCTGCGCTGTACAGTATTGTTTGGACCTTTCTGGGGCCTTTTCCAGTTTCGCCCAATGTGTTGGGGTTATCGTAGAACAGAACCTGTCTTAGAGCTGATTGTGGCGAGTTCAGTTCAGGTTCAGGTGTGGCATTTCAAAATCTCTGAGGGCTTGTTTAAATTTAGCGTCTAAAGTTTTAGGTGTCACATCGAATGTGCTATATAGGGTGTTTGGATATTAATAAAAAAATAAAGTACAAAATCCGTCAGTAATCCGCGAGAAATTTATTAAGCCTAATTAATCTATAATTAGCGCATGTGTTACTATAGCACCATATTGTCAAATCATTGACTCATTAGGCTTAAAAGATTTGTCTCGTAAATTAGTCGCAAACTGTATAATTAGTTATTTTTTTAGTCTATATTTAATACTCTATATATATGTCCAAATATTTGATGAGGTGGGAAGTAAACTTTAGGGGAGTAACTAAAGAGGCCTGAGTTGTTGTGCTGCCCAACAGCCCTTACAGCCTCTCTCGTCTCGAGCTAAAAGAGAAGAAACTGCCTCCAGTTTTCAGGGGATATTTTTGGTAGTATAATTCTTGGTCTCTCTTCTGAGAATGTGCTTGAAATTCTTGTGCAGCGCCATGGAGCAAGTCATGAGATCGGTTAGAGTGGGAATTGAGCTTTTCCCTGAGAAAAACATTGCACAGTCCATCATTTTTTTCGCGAAGAACACATAGCTTTTTGTTTCGCAATGGAGTATGTGAAAGTTTACAAAATACATGACATGTCTCCTGGTAGGCTGGGAGCACATTCTGTCAGGGTCAAGTGATTTTTGTACATGTGTGTTTAGTATGATGTTTTTTATGTGTGTGTCTAGTATCAAAGTTTTTCTTTACCTAATAAGTATGAGAAAATTAGCCAAGCATGGTGCTTGAATAGATGCGTAGGTAATGGGCATGTTCGGAAGCCATCATTCAGCGTGTTCGGCTGCCCATTTCTGGCTGGCTGGCCAGACTTTTTTTTTTCTAGCAGAGCAGTGTTTTTCTTCCACTATTTTTCATCTGCTACAGTGTTTTTCTAGCTGCTACAGTGTTTACTTGATGCCAGCCGGCCACGCTCTGTTTTTTCACGATCACACAAAAGATTTGTACGTCTTTGTATTAAGGTAAAAAAAACGATACAACACGTCTTCGGACGTCATAGGGTGTTCGTAAAGATTTACATGAAAACTCAGACCCTCTCTAGTGTACTGTAAGCTAGGTTGTTACATTAGACTGAGATCGACCTAAATTTGTGGTGCTAGCAAGGAGGCCTATGCCCTAGCTGTCGGACGGTAGCGCCGCTTGCGCGCCAACCGGAGGGAACAACTCACGTAACGCCTGCATATGAGTGGGGTTGCCGTTGAATACCTCATCGTACGTCATCGTCGGCGTCGATGAAGGAGGCATCCCGCTGGAGAGTCCAGGCGCTTCATGACAAGCTACTCACCTCGCTTGGCTGTCGGGATATGAGCTGTGGCTTGTGCTGCTATCCGCTTGCTTCGCTTGGGGAGCGAGGGCGGTGCACGTCCGTCGAGGGCCGCCTCATCTCCGGGCAGCTCGAGAAGTGGTGGTTGCCTTGTCTTTGTAACGCTCGATGAAGCTTGAGGCGTCTATCGACTGAGGTCGTCTGAGGCAAAGGGATGCGGTTGACATCAGTTGCAGCCACGATCGTCCGTCGGGAGGGGTGGCTGCATCCGCGCCTAAAGTGATGGCATCCGATCTCTCTAGGGTTGGCAACAATGTGATGCACGTTTCCATTGTAGCTATGTCTAAGGTTGGCTTTAAGCCTATCAAACCGGCCTAATATTTTTTTAGATTATAATACTACAACACAGACGTCCACGACGCACACACACACACGCAAACCTTACTTCGTCCACGAGAGAAAAAGAAATAAGAAAGAGGCTTATTTGTTAGATATTAGGATTGAAAAAATTACATAGACGTCACGTGGACAAGCATGTTACCCATCAATAAAGGAATATCTATATTAACGATGAGACATGCGTAGGACACTAAACTTGGATTTTAAGTCCTATTTTCCATTCTAAATTTTAAGTTGTTTAGTGTTTCTACGTGCGTAGCTTTTCTTATGCATCTACATATATATTTTTTAAATACATAATAAAAACTATATATCTAGAAAAATCAAAACACTTAAAAATTAAAATGGATGAGGTAGTAGACTAACCACCTTGACTAAACAACTAGTAACTATACTTAACGATGGCGCCAAATATATTTTATTGTTATTTCATACATGAAAACGCTGAGGTTTTGTAATCTAAAAGTTGGAAAAAAGGAAATCCGAAGTATTCTACCAAACAAAAACAGGAGTTTTTCTCACTTTTCAGATCAGACAACCGGGGCATGTTTATGTTTATTATCAGTCATATTCCTCTCGTAATCGAAAGGTTCTCTTTCCCTTTCTATAGCGGTGTAATCAAGCGCGCATCGATAATAATAAATAAATAAATGCATGTGTGTGTGGTTGTGGCGTGTTTCCACGGGAGAGGAGGCGACGTGAAGAGAGGTTTTCGGGCGGTTCTTCGTTCGTTCGGAAATCAAGTCGCCATGTCGCATACAAGTGCCATCTCCGTGGAACCCACCACCGTCGTCTTTCCCGGCCGGCCAAACTCGCTTCCTTCTTTTTTTTTCTTTTCTTTTGAAAGATGATCTCGCAGTATAATAATTGACGAGTGGAGCGCTGGCAGCCAATAATACGGAGTGCAGTAGTGGATCCAGGTCAGGTCATCCACTGCTGCCAAAGTGATCTCCCAGTAGGCCGTCTTTCCCGGCCGGCCAAACTCGCCTCCTTCTTTTTTTTTCTTTGAAAGATGATCTCGCAGTATAATAATTGACGAGTGGAGCGCTGGCAGCCAATAATACGGAGTGCAGTAGTGGATCCAGGTCAGGTCATCCACTGCTGCCAAGGAACCCAGGCCGTGTTTAGTTGGAGGTTGATTCGGCGCCTAACATTTGAGACTAATTAGTCAACGATTGAACAATTATTACGAAATAACAAACAAAATCGTCGACTAATTGTGCTACAAAAAGCAAATTCGTGGCGTAACTTCGCCAACCAACTGCAATTACTTTTTTATTTCGGCAGCATTACATTTAAGTCTTCCACACGTCTTTGATTTGATGTGATGAGAGAATCTTACGGTTGGTTCAGATAACAGTTTTTTTTTTTGAACTTGAGGCATGGCCAGCCCAGCGATCGGGCTCTCGTCTCCGTATTATGCGTGGTTCCGAATCGCCGCATGTGGTGTACGGTTTCAAGCCCTTTTTATCACATGCGGAAGAGTATACTGTACTGGAAAGGCTCCACTCCTCAAGGCCTCAGCCTCAGCTTGCGTGGTTGTCACTGGCTCACTGAACTGTAAAAGTTCGGGTGGAAATTACGTGTACCTGGAGGGCAAAAGGCGACCTGCACACAAACAGTCTCTCACAAGATCCGGAGAACCTGTCCTTTTTGCTCGGCCCCGCGGCATTGCTCGTCAGCATGTTCTAGTCCAAACTACAGTAACACGAACTCTTTCTCTTCTCTGCTCACGGTTGTGCGTTCGTCCGTTCTAAACACTGACGTCAGCAAAATAGAGGAGCGGGTTTCTTCAGCGCAAGGCCAACGCAGGCCACAACTCTGTATGCCTCGTGCATAAAGGTCCAGGCCACATAGGCATCGATGATTTGTGCCACCAAAACTCCCAACGCGGGTTGCAAGTGCCGTGCTTTCTCGCCTAGTCCAGGACGTTCGTCACCTCCACTTTATTCCTCTTCGGCTGTTCGCCCGTCTCCGCGTACATACCGGTCTCGTTCTTCTTCAGCTGTTCGCCCTTCTGCCATCTGCGCCACCGCAGTGTCGTCCCTTCCCAGGTCTCTACAAATTGAAGCAAAGCACCACCACCAATCGCTCTGGGCTTCGGCTAATCGGATTCGCACCAAGTCTATTTGCCCTACTACCCCGTGAAATCGACCCTGTATCTTTGGCGGATTGTCAGGTTAGTTCGTAGCCGTTCTTAGTAAAATAGGGTTTGGATTTCTTTGCAATTTTGGGTTAAGTTCCTGTGAGAAATTAGATTATTTATTAATCGATCTATGGCTTAGAGTATAAAGGTCACTTCACTTATCAAACATTCAATGCCTTGATGACATGTTGACAATGGTGACGACACTGATAGTCATGATTTATTAATCTCCAAAGTGGTTGAAAAAGATGCTGAAATCCGTGATCGAACCATCCATTCTCACCTAAAAAAGATTTGGTTGAACATATTTGGGCACGATATGGGCATCATACCAATATCATGTCTTGACTTTGTGTTCTTGAACTTTTATTAGAGCTGTTGTAAGATATTCATATGTACCGGTTATTTTCTAAGACAATTATTGCCTCATGTATGTACGAGATAGAACAGATTTGTAAGAGATTCATATGTACCTGTTATTTCTAAGACAATTATTGCCTCTTGTATGCACTGTGTTGGTCCAACTTTGATGTGTTTAGTTCTTATACTCCACAATGTGTCTTGAGCCACCCTGTTGGCATCTAACTCATCACACATGCAAAGGACATCAGAATGAGCAGAAAAACCCATCAATCCCACTTAGGCAGCCAGTTCACATTTTAACAGAAAACACATAAATGGCACAATTCAAAAGGTTCTAAATTCTATATTTACGTGGTCTGATTACAGCACAGGCTCTGAATTCCACATTTATGTGGTCTGATTACAATATAGGCAACCAGTTCCACAGAGAACATAAACAAATTATTTATATATATTCATTACATAAATATCTGTCCTCGTCCTTCCTTCCAAAAAGTTGTTTCCAGCAATGCTCTATGCACTATCATCTCAGCCAAATAATTTATCTCCCAGAGCAGTGACAACCCTCACATGAGCCTCCTTTGCCCATGTCTCCATCTTAGAAGTGTCCACCTTCAACATATCAGAAAACCTATCCATCATTTTTTTCCTATGCTCCATGGTCTTTGAGTTATTCTCTAACACTTTGGATTCCTTGTTTTCCTTAGCTGCCATGTATGTCAACTTTGCAGCTTCCACTTTCTGATTTGAGATGCGTTCTTGGAAATCTTTCATGTTACTTATGACTTCAGTAATCTCTGACTGAGCATTAACTAGTTTCTCCAGTTGTTCTTCAACCACTGTAGTTTCAGACCCATTAGCAGCTCCTTTCATTTTCTTAGCTTTCTTGCGGCCCACTGGACGCACATTTGGAGCCACCCTGTTGACATCTAACTCATCACATGACCTCTTCGTGCCTTGACATTTAGCTGCAATGTGAGCATTCCACTTTGGACTGCGGCGAACGATCTTCCACCATTGCACGTAGGTGAAACTGGTGCTTGTATCGGATGCGATACAATTCTAAGGCTTCTTCCATTAACTGCTCATCAGACTGTCCACTCACATAAGTCCCTTCTAGTTGATTGTAGCAACCATTGAAACCTGATACCTTCTTTGTAGTCTTGTACCAATGGTTTTCAGATGCTTCACATCGCGTTTACGGTCACTTGGTGTGGTCAAGTTGTATGCTGCAGTAACCTCCTTCCAATAATGAGCAAGCTTTTTGGAATTTCCTTCAATAGGATCTGTAGAGTTGTTTATCCACGCGCTAACCTATATGAAGTAAACAAGATGGACATGCAGTGTTAAATAAGTTTTCAGTAGTAAGGGCAACAATTATGCATGAATCAATTGGTAGATTCAGTAAGGGCAACAATAGTAGGAGCTTACCAATCTGACATCCTCCTCAGGAGTGTAGTACATCCTTTGCCTTGAATCATCATCTGTTGCTTCCACATCGATTGTTACCCGATGCTGACCGATGTTTGCTGGACTCGGGCTCCTAGAATCAGAGGCCAATGGGGAGCTTTGTGTACTGCCAGGTGGTGGTGGTGGTCCCATGAAATGGGTATATGGCATAGGAAAGTGATGCGCTTGGTAGGCAGTATGCTGTGGGCGCAAGGATGGTCCGAAGGTAGAGGTTGCAGCACCATCCACACCTTGAAGAAAGTTCATGAAACCACCTCTTGGACGATACTCCATTGTGATTGAGCAAGAAACAACAGTACTACAAGGTAGGAAAATGGATAAATCATGTTAGAAGTCTGTAACAATAATAATAATTGTAGAAGATTAAATGTTTCATAAGCAATGGACAGCATGATTCGGTACTACTACTGTAATTGTATTTCAAGAAAAACATCTTTCTCTACCAGTACTCACTAGAAAACAGCTATACATGGTAAGAAAAGGTATGAGCCAAACAGCTATACATGGTAAAAAAAACACCAATCATTAATAGCATGAGCTGCATGAGTATGCCATATTCTACTACCTATGGATGTATTGTAGTTCAATAATAGACATTCCAATCACCAAAAAAGTGTTGTTTTGTTCCATAAGTTTTAGGAACCATGAACAATAAAAAATCACAGATTAGTTTGATCTTTGGACATCATATTACTAGAATCTAATCTCATATTTCCATCACGAATGAACCTGCCCAAACTAAACAATTAATCAAACTCATCTGTCCAGCCAACATTTGAGGTTTCTTTGAATCTTCCAAAAAAATAGAAAAACAACTAGATCGACAATACCCCATTGCAATTCAGTGAAAGATAACAAATATTCACAGATTTTGATGGGGAATCACTCAAGTCAGGCAATGAAACGAATGCATATATAACTGAAATCACCTAGTGTCGGGTTTATAAACTCAGGGTCCCTAATGGGCCTACTTTTCAGCAAAAAGCTCGGCCCAGCAGACGACGTTACGGACGACGCGCAACTGCTGGGCCAGCCTAGATATCTAACGACAGGCCGGAAGAGTGATCCAGTCTCCGGCCGGAAGGCCTCCGACTCCGACCTGCCTCTCCGACCGGAGGGCCTGGCCAAGGAGGGCGACGCTCGCTTCCGACTCCGACCCGCCTCTCCGACTGGGAACACACCAAACCTCTGTCTGCGGCTCTTCTCCGACCGGCACGGTCGGAGTTGATTGGGAACGAACGAACGGGGGCGCCCGCTCGGTGAGGACCCAAGAAATCAGGCGGAGCAGATAAGGTAAGACGCACAAGTCAACCATAATACCAAGGACCGTACCCTGCACACTTGTAGGACAGTACTGTCAGCCCATGTCAGAAGGGTACTTTGCAACCTTTCAGACATGTCAGGACACGAACAGTGTTGTGGGCGTCGATATTTGTCCTACAGTATGGTAGGCGCCGACATTTGCCATATCAGAAGAACACGATGGAACCAACCACATGCATCAGGGCGTCAACAGTATTGTAGGCGCCGATAAACCGTCTCGTACCTGACGGCGTGGGTAACAAGACTAGGTAGCACACGCTCCCTCTCTCTTACTTGTAAGGACGTCCCCTTCATCTATAAAAGGGGATGCGCTCTCTCCTAAAAGGGGATCGATTCAAGGAACAACAGACAACACACGGATCATTCCGACTCACTCTCTGCTAGCTTTAGACACTCTAAAGCTATACAGAGCATACGTTCCAATACTTAGCGCATGCAGGAGCTCCCGTCACTCTCGGCCCTTCGGTCCAGAGTCCGACTGAACCGCTGATACCCCCCCATCTTATTCCCACTTGTTTGTAACCCCACAGCAAACTTCGAGCACCTGGGCTCAGGAATAAAGTCATCGACCGACTCAAACTGGACGTAGGGCACGTTGCCTGAACCAGTATAAACCATGTGTCATTGAGTGCTAGGCCACATCTGATCACAACGTATGTCAAAACTACAAATATTTACTAGTTGGTCACTTTTTGCACCGACACCTAGGGTTAGACACCAACGAACCTGCAAAGTCCGACGATGAGTGGTGGCTGGACGAAGAGTCAGATCATAGGGATGCCGGCGTCTTGGTGACTCTCCTTCGCAGCAGGAGAGGCATGGAGGACGAATCGATGGGCGGCGGCAGTGGCGACGGCGACGGCGGCGAAAAAGCAAGAAGGAAGCATATGCGACTTCAGGGGAATAGAAATTGGCGCGCAGAGATTGGAGTTTCCTGCTTGTTGTGGTAGATATCGCGGGAACCGGGAGTGGTCCCGAGGGTTGGAGCCGCTACGTGCCGCTTCGTCGCTGCAACGCTCGCTTCGATTGCTTCCTCTGCTTTTCGTCAGATGAGACCGTCGCCTCTCCTGCAGGATCCTCTGACACCCTGCAAGACTACCATCTCCGTGACATGGAACACTCGCTGCCTACGTGGTGGTTGGGGTAGCACGCCAGCTCACTGCGTTGGAGAAGCCCTTAGGTCATGGCCAACGCACCGGGTTGGACTACTGCCCTAGCTACCACGTCAGAGCAGATTGTCCATGTCACAGCGAATGACGGCTTCGCAGAGTGTCATAGAAGCCTGCAAAGGAAGCATGGCTGTTGTTTGAGCTCGCGTTGTGAGCCAAAGAGACTCCCCATGACAATAAAGCGACCTGTAGAGCAGTGTGGGGACTGGAAAAGCTGCGGAGTGCAGGGTGGTGAAGTCCGTAGAAAAAAGTAGATGCATACTGTTTGCGTGGTTAGTGACCTGAACTCAAATTTGTCTATGTGGTGTCCGAGGCCAACACTTAATGCAACCTGTGTTGAACCTGGCCTTAGAATTCTTGTAAAAATACTCTAACCTAAACAGAGTATCTGAGCACCTCCAACACAAATGGTAATACTTTGCCCCCTCTCTCCCTAAAAAAGAAGTTATCGGAAAGCAAATGGTTTTTTCGAGGTTTGAATGATCAAACCTACGGCGGTGAGAAAACTCCATTCTCAATAACTCTTGCGTGTGGGATCTATTTGTCAGTGAAGAGAATCTTTTTTCTATTTTGTTTTTTTCTCTCATTCTTGATGCCTTCCCTCGTCCCCTAACTTTTTTTTTGTCTGTGACGGATCTCGTACCTTCACGTTGTCGTCACCTTCCCACTAGCACGCCTCCCCCACTCTCCATCAAGATGCCTCTGCCCCCTCCCTCTATCGATGCGCCGTGCACGTCGCCCCCACTTCCACGCCGGTCGTGCTTTTATCTCCTCATGCCGACGCGGCTCCCTCTGCCCCTCTTCCCCTGTCAGTGGCCATCCCCTCGCTAACGTGAGCCTCTATCCCTAGACCGGCATGCGCTGGGACATTTAACTTTTTGCCATCCTTATAGATGGCACTCCTTTGTTTGCCATTTTTGTTGATGTGGCATACCACACAGTCAGCCAGCGTGGCAGCGCCTCTCCTCCCGCTGCTGCTTCTCTCTCCCTCCACTCGCTGATCTGTGGGGCCCACCAGTCAGGTTCATCTTCAACCTCTGGCCGTTGGGAAGAAACCATCGATTTCCAGGATGGCCTTCGCTGCCCGTCGCCGCGCCGCCACCACGCCGCCGCGGCCACCTCGCCGCTCGGCCGCGCCGCTTGCTTTCGCTGAGACGCAAGCACCGCTCTCTCCCAAGCCGTCCTAGCTCGCCCACGTCGGAAGCGCCGCCACGCCCGCACTTGGTCACGTCGGCCCCTCTCGGCCGGCCACGCAGTGCCACCCCCGCCGCCATTGCGCGCGCCTGCCCCGCTCACTCAAGACTTCGGATGCGCCATCGCGTCCGCTTCGCTTGCTGCACCTGCAAGACGCCGTCTGAAGCTGGGTCTAGCCTCACACTTGCACTGGCCGCATGCGCCCTGCCCTACCCCAGCCAGATCGCACGCCACGCCCACGCCACGCTTTGGTTCGGTTGGCAGAGAACATAGGAGAGAGCATTGGATGGATAAGAGAGAGATAGTGAAAAAAGATTCACATTTATTACATGAAGACCTCTGCACTATGGGGATAGTTTCTCCGGTGGCAGAGGTTGAAGATGAACCTGACTGGTGGGGCCCACATGTCAGCGAGTGGAGGGAGAGAGAAGTAGTAGCAGGAGGAGATGCATTGCCACGCTGGCTGACTGCGTGGCATGCCACGTCAGCAAAAAAAAAATGACAAAAAATGAGTGTTTGTGTAAAAATGACAAACGAAGGACTGCCACCCGTAATAACGGCAAAAAAGTTAAATGTCCCGCATGCGCTTCCTCTCCCCTTCGTCAATGCCCCATCTCTTCTCCTCCGCAAGCTTGGTGCTGCTTCTCCTTCTCCTCCGTGGTGTTCGAGTTGGATCCACTAGCGTTCTCTCTTCCACCGACAACTGAGAGCCGTGGTGCATGGTCGTGGACCGACAATGAGCTACAGAGCAGCCAGCAAGCACGGGGATACAGCGCTTGCGCTTGGCCCCCGCGCGGCCGCAGCCGGAGGTACAGCGCGCGCGCGCGGGCACGGGCACGACGTGCCAACCCGGCGGGCCACGACGAGCCACGGCGGCGCCTGGTGCGTGTGCGTGGCTCCCGCGCGGCGACGCGCGCCCGCGCGCCGTGCGGAGGCGGGGCGACGGAGCCCGTTGAGGCGCGCAAGGACGGACCGGCGCCGGCGGTCGATCAGGCGGATAAGGAGGCCGAGCTGGCGCCTGAGGAACTGGAGGTGCTGGAGGAGTCGGCCATCACGGGGGACGACGAGGGCCGCCGGCCCACCGACTACGACCGCCGCGCGCACATCTTCTAGGAGAGCTCCTGGGTGTTCCGGGAACTCAAGAAGCGAAGCGGCGGCGACGGCGGAAGCGAGAGCGGCCGTGGTGGCGTGTCTACCGGTGCCCCCGCCACCTCGGCTGAAACAAAAGCGTGTAACGAACAGCAGCAGTAGCAGCTAGCTCGGATGAAATGCCATACTGACGCAACGAAACTTGTACGACTAAAATAAAAAGTGGTGACGCTTATACATTTATTGTCGTTTTCGCTGGGCTGATAAGCCATTGCTGAAAATACTGTTGGCTGATTTGACGTGAGAAAAAAAATACTGTTCGTTGGCTGAAAAAACATCTTATATGCCAAGCGAACAAGTGACTAAAATACCGTTCAAAGCGTACGCGAAGAACAGAAATGAAACCGGCATGCAATGCATACCCGCATAAGGAAGCTTAGCTTACACAACTAGTCAATTACTCGACCTTGACCATCTCTCATTTGACAAGGCACAATGTGCAGATCATCAACTGTTCACTTCTTTGACAGAGAGGTTAACCATGAGGTCACTGCATCATCATAAGCCTCCCCAACTCTTGGTAACTCTTCTTCTGAACCATTACGCTTGAGAAACCGCAGACATTGTTCTTTCTTTTCACGAACATCTGAAAGGTAGCCACAGACTGCAAGTACGACTTCTTTGTCATGATCATTGATAGATTTCCCTGATTTGTTTACCTTCGCTGCTACCTCAGCCACCTTTTCTTCAAGATCACTTGAAAGCGACTGTACCAAAAGAAAAAAAAAACATTTATCAACTAATGATCGACCATTGAATAAATAAAAAAGTTAAAGCAAATGAATTCAAGACATTCACAACCTTGACATCAAATTTCTGTTCGGACTCGGGAACAAGGATATGTGCAACCACTTTTGCATAGTCCACATGGTCTTCAATCAATCTACCAATATACAAGAAACATGACGATCAAACGACTGACGGAAGATGAGAGGCACAATTGACGAAACCCAGTTAAGATGTTCCAAGTAACCAAGAATGAATACAAACTGTCTATCCATCTGTGGAAGTAGCTAATGAAATTAGAATACTTTGCGCACAGTTTGGCGAAGTAGTGAAATTAACAAACAAACAAAAAAAATCAGACTACTAATGTAAAAATCGCAGGGGAAAAAAACTCAAATAATGCAAGGTCACTAATACCAACAGACTGCACATTCTACCAATAGCCTCCAAATAAGTATGACGCACATGTTAATGGACATTAAAAACAAAAGATGTGCATCCAAATCCAAAGGCATAAACAATACTTTGGACGGCATGGACAAATGCATAATAAATCTGAAGAACCAAGAGGCACACACTACAGTACTATAGAAAAAAATGGTATATACACAATATTTGTCCATAGCAAGCTTCGAACACTAACCAAAATCAATGAGAAATGACCATCCATGCCCCTATCAAGTAACAGAGTACAAGCTCTCTTTTTCTTTCGAAACATTTAATTAGACGTTTTTTTGTGTGTGTGTGTGGAAAACATTTAATTATAAATTAGAGCGTGGAAATGTTGCAATAGCTATAATCTTGATATCTTGAGGAAGCAAAAGGTGTTATGCTCCAAAGCACAAACTGTTGAACATTTTTTTAGAGTATAATTGCCCTGCTGAAGGGGACTTTGGGATTCATTATGTTTTCAAAAATTACAATGGATGGGAGTGCTTAAGAATGCTGAAGCCATGGGTATGTATTTTATGATCTGCATCAAAGATATGGGAGCTGGATCAGTTCTCTGGAAACTGATGAGTAAACCAAACCAGATTCCCATGGATCTGTGGCTTCCGTTGGGGTTTGTAAGCAATTAGCTTGTAGCCAGCAACCCATGTACATACAATTCCCGCTCAGGAGATGGCAAGTTATGCAAAACGAATACTCCCTCCATACTAAAAAATGAAGTTGTTTTGGACTGCGACATGGTCTCCAAAGCATAACTTTATCTTCTTATTCTTATAAAAATATTTATCGAAAAGTGATATATGTATATTTTTATGAAAAGTATTTTTCAAGACAAATCTGTTCATATGGTTTTCACATTTCTAAACTCAACAATTTAAAAGTTATTCATGATTTATATTCCTAATGTTTGACCGAAGCCTTGTTTAAAACGACTTCATTTTTTAGTACGGAGGGAGTACTAAAATGGGTACAAAACATATGTTTTGGTGATGCTTTAATGCTGCCTTGTGGTGGCCTGTGATTGTTTAAAAGTTGGGAGGTTCTGGTGTAAGCTGCGCCCTCAAAATATTTATGCTTGTCACCCTATTATATGGATATATGGTGGCGCAGTTATATGTAATAACTATATTGGTATATGGAGCAGAGTAGTAAACACTGTATGGTAGCAAAGGGAGAATAGTTACCTGTCCTAGTGAGACATTGACACCATCTGATTGTAACACATTTTGTAATCCCTTGCTCATTGGTAGATAATAGTCTTCAGTTAAATTGCCCTTTTCTTGGGGAATAAATTCATGCAGGACACGCTTTAGCCCCCACATCAAATCACCAACACCATCATCATCATTTGAAAAATTTAGTGCAACATTGGACCTTTTGAAAATGATGCCAACATTAGAATTCAGGCTAAGAAACTGGAGTTATGGCGGGAGACTTTGGAGTCCAAAGGTTTTAGACTCAGTAGAACTAAAACTGAGTATATAAAATGTGACTTCGGCACTACTACTCGGGAGAAGGAAGATATTAGTTTGGAAGGTCAAGTAGTGCCTAGGAATGATACCTTTCGATATTTATGATCAATGCTACAGAGAGACGGGGATATTGATGAAGATGTTAGCCATAGAATCAAAGTAGGGTGGATGAAGTGGCGGCAAACATCTGGTGTCCTATGTGACAAAAGGGTACCACAGAAGCTAAAAGACAAGTTTTATAGGACGGCGATTAGACCTGCTATGTTGTATGGTGCAGAATGTTGGCCTACGAAAAGACGACATGTTCAACAGATAAGTGTCGCGGAAATGCGCATGTTGCGTTGGATTTGCGGTCATACAAGAAGAGATCGAGTTCGGAACGATGATATACGTGATAGATTAAGGGTAGCACCAATTGAAGAAAAGCTTGTTCAACACTGGTTGAGATGGTTTGGACATGTCCAACGGAGACCTTCAGAGGCACCGGTGCGTAGTGGAATTCTAAGCCAGGATAGTAACGTGAAGAGAGGCAGAGGAAGACCGAAGTTGACTTGGGTAGAGGCAATAAAAGAAGACTTGAAATGATGAAATATACCCAAAGACTTAGCCTTAGATAGGAGTGCTTGGAAGATAGCTATTCACGTGCCTGAACCTTGATCGTTTCTGCTGGGTTTCAACTCTAACCTACCCCAACTTGTTCGGGACTTAAAGGCTTTGTTTTTGTTGTTGTATTAGAATTCAGGCTACATTCATCATTTGAGATAAATGTAACATTTAAGGGAATATACTGACAAGTTTTTCCTCAATGACAGATTTAAGATCATCATCTTGAACAATCAATTTAGTTTTATGCGGACGCAGCTTTTGAATAAGCCTGCTCAGATCCTGGCCAGGACCATGGCAACTATCCCGGACAATAGATTTGTCATGAACCTTTACGAAACCGAGAGCTAAGACAACCTGACAGCCATGATAGCATAACGTTAGAAAAGAATTATCCACCCCACAGCAGTACAAAAAACATATGAATACAAGTCCAGCATGAACAATATGGTTCTTGTCTCAAACAAGAGAACACGAAATAACAAGCTAACAAATTAAATCATACTAAATTTTGAAGTTAGGGAGCACCACATGCAAGAATAGGAAAAAAGAACAGACTTTCTTCAAACTATTATCGTGCTAGCATCTATCAGTGTTTCTCAAAGCTGGCAGCCTAGTAGTGTTTCTCAAAGCTGGCAGCCTAGCTCTTGTTGCCAATGCCTATGCACAAGGTAGCACCACCTGCAAACTCACTAACCAATGTATCCTACCTAGGTGGCCATAATAGTTGATCAAGTGTTACATGCTAGGTATGTGGGTCAGAACCTATCTGTGTTATCTCAACATAGCACTATAGCAGGTCTCAAGCCAGGGTAAAGGAGGAGAAAAAAACAGCCACTATGATTGGAGATATATAGAATTCTATTTCTAAATGTATGGAGTGGCTTTAGGTCAACCCACTTGCATCCTACTAGGTACTAGATGGAAATAATAGTTTTGTACTAACATTCCAAAAGGTCCACCTAGAAATGTGCAGATTAGGCTTATCTCCAAGCTGAACACCTCTGTTCCAAAGGCGTCGCCTAGATGTCCAGGCGAACCCAGCTCGCCTTGGGGAACAGTGGAGTCACCTTTGAAACAATGGTGAACACAATTGCTGCAAATAAAGCTACGCTGCAAATAAGGCTACCAGACCCTCTGACAGGATTAAACAACCAAGAAGAGAAGGATTTTTATTGAAAACAGTCCTTTTAGTCACATGAAGCTTGGAACCTTGAAGCCATGTTGCTTAAATTAGATCTAGGGAACAAATTACATGGAAATAACTAGTATGTGCATGGATTTATTTCTATACCCCAAGTGCCTCCATTTCAGTGATAAACGATGTCCATATGTGCTGCAACAATTGAAAGGGAGAAAAACTTTATCACTGTGTCACCCAAAGGAGTGGAAGGAAAATGGATGAAGTGCGGAATGAGTACCTGAGGCCGTTCAAAGACATCCTCACAAATATAAAAAATGGCAAAACCAGAAGGAGTCTCAAGGAGTGTCCTCCTATATGTTGAATCCTTCAAATTGGCAGGTTCCCTGTACAAATCAATACAAAAGCAAAAACTGACATTGTGAGAAGTAACAAAAGACAACTGCAATGTGCATTTTTGGTCTTAAGAAACATATCCCCATAAATGGCATATACATGCAGCACAAACCTTATAGGTTCTTCATGTGTACCTTCAAATGTCCTAAAATGATATGTCATTTCTGATTGCATACGCTTGACACGGATCATAATCTCATTTCTTTGTTTAGGAACAGCCAATAGGTGACTAAGAGCTCCCATAATGATTTCCCTGTCGTGCATGGAAAGCTTTTCATCTCGATATTTAGTTGCATGTTTATCTGCTTCTTTGATCTTTAGTGCTAAGTCCAATGGGAACATCTATACGAACGAATATTAATGTAAGTGAATGAGTGGTTTATTGCATGTATTCAAATATTCATATTCTGGTGCTAATAAATATAAACATGTACCTTCAAAAAATCATATTGTGGTGTCAACTCAGGAACAAGAATCCTTGCAAGGACTTTGGCGTAGTCTAAGTCATCCTCAATACTTTCACCAATTCTACAAACATGTTCATCAAATGACTCCCTCAATGTCTTGGGAACTTGCTCTAAATTTGTGTCCACATAGCGAAACAGGCCAATTTCTGATATGAATTTATTATGAAGCTGAAATGCATAGAAGAGAATCAAACAAATATTTATATGCGTAAATTATATGAATTAAGAATTTAAGATGGATGCTCTACTTTGAGTTGAACAACTTTTTGTGTGTGTTGTGGGGGTGGGGTAGGGGGATTCCAGTAGAAGGAAGAGTTACCATTTTTGGCGAGATATTGATCAAATGATCTTGTAAGAACCGTTGCAATCCCTTGCTTAGTGGAAGACAATACTCCTTAGTTATTTTGCTGGCTTCGTAGAGCATAAACCCACGAAGGACATGCTTCATTCCCCAAATGAGTTCATCACTAACAGTAGGTTCGTATGAACATTGGATGTTCTACAAAACACATAGAGTCAGCACGGAGCATGGACCGTCTGACATAAATGGAACAATTGAGAGCATGTACTGACCAACTTTTCCTTAATAACGGCTTGAAGTTTGGCACTCTGAACAATTAGATCCTTTTTACTCTTGCAGGATTTTCGAATTAGACGAATGAGGTACTTGCTAGGTTGTGTCTGACCATCCCAAGCAACACTTTTGTCAGCAAACTGTACATCACCAAGGCAAACCATAATCTGTCCAAGCAGCAGCAACAAAAAAAATCAAATGGGTAGCAAAAACAATTGTGATCTAGTGCAAATAGAACTATCCATAATTCCGTATTGTACATGTTTTGCAGTAGATACATTCCTGAAATACACCCAGATATCCTGCAAAGAAAAATGACAAAGCATGTGTAGATTTATCACTAGTTGCAAGGTCCAGAGGAAAAGGGAAGTGATGAAACAAGTTTAGTAAAGGAATAGAATTGGATGGGTACATCAGGTTCTTTGAGTACATCTTCATCAACAGCAAACAGGGCGAATCCTGAGGGTGTCTACAGCAGCGTTTTCCTCCACTTAAGTTCAGTCATGTTCCCTGCCGGTGAAGATCAGTACAAATGCAAAAGCTAATGTTGTGTGAGAACCCAAACCAATGGACAGCAAAACTAAGAATCAACAACCCAACCTGATAGCTTTGTGCCTATACTCGCTTTTTTTTTTACCTCTATAAAAAGGACAACCACATTTTTTCATTTAATAAGAGAAGTGGGGCATGCAAACACGAACTCCTTCCCTTGCAATATTGCAAACACGAACACCCCATATAGCAATGTTAAAGAAGAATAAGCAACATATATAAGAATCTTGATTTTTAACAATTAGCTTTGATCAGAAGATCTTTTATCCTTCTACTAAAAGGTGTATTTCCATAACTCAAATTTGAACTAGACTAGACTAGATCCTAGGATTCCTATCCAAAACACTCGTCCCAATTGACTGTTGTTTCGCAAATTAGAAAGGGAACGAACAGGAATCAACCAAACCAAACATAATACCTACATCCATCTATTTTGGGAGTAAAATGTGTTCCCCTTATGCAGGGGCGGACCAGTAAAGGGATATGGATGTACACCCGATAATTTTCGCAGAATGTTCGACGTTAGTAGGCACCAAATACCATATAGCTTTAAGTTAGGGCTTGGGTGCTTGGATTCGCACAGCGGGAAGGGGAGAGGAGAGGTGGCACTACCTGGGTGCTCGTCGCGGAGAGAGAGGTCCAGCCGTCCAGGGGGGCGGCGGGGGAGAGAGCACACGCGGTGAACTGTGATCGTGGCGTTTTGTAAGGTCCCTGTTTTTTATTTCAGATATGCTATACAACGCATCTTCGTTTTAGCAAAAAAAATAAAAAGAACACATGGATTTTCTCTCTCTTTTCATTTCTCTTTCTCACCGGTGACCATCGATGTTGGCGACGGCGACCGACGAGCTCGCCCCGGCATCCGCGCCCGCGCCTGGCGCGCCTCCTCGCGCCCACGCTGGCCATGGCAGTGGCGATGGCGGCGGCGGCGGCGGATCCGACTCCGGATAGGCCTCTCCTCCTCCTCTGTGATCTGTGATTTGTCATTTCATATAAAAAAATGTTTCTTGTGATCTGTGAATATGTGATCTTGTGATTTGTGATCGTTTGGAGGTAGAAGAAAGCTGAAGCTTGGAGGTAGAAGGAGGGTGGAGGCTGTTGGATCTTAATTCTATGGTGAAAAAAATTTATATGTTAAAACTACAAAAAACACATGGTTGTGTAAGTAGACCGACTCTATTTCTTATTTAAGGAAGGATTTGCTTAGGTTTTTTTAGTGCTCCTCAAATAATTACCTCAACTCTAGCCTCAAATTAAGACACGTATATTTTCTCCATGATATACAGCCTGTTCATTTCGGCTGGATTGGCTTATAAACCATAACTGAAAATACTACTGGCTAGTTTGGTGTGAGAAAAAAATACTATTCGTAAGCCTTATAAACCGAATACAAGCTGCCGAACAGGCTGATACGGCCCCATTCGTTAGTGAGGCTCTCATCCCTGTTTCTCTTCTCCCTTCCCTACTAGTATTTGTCTTCTCCTCTTGGTGTCACAATTTTCGAAAAGCCAAACGCAGCAATCTCCAGTGTCGGATCGAGCCAAACCGATGATGAATAAATCGCGCACAAATAATAATCATCAATCAATATATATACATCCACAGCATCGAGCATGCGCGGCGTGCAAACCTTTACACACATCGAAGAGCACACAAAATTTGCAAACCAACCAACTCCACACACAGATGATTGCAAACAAACTCACACACAAGCTAGCCACTAAGCAGTAAGCACACATCAGAACGCCAATCATCACTACACTGCCACTAAACTCACCTGTCGTGTATGCTACCTTCTCCTACACTCGATCGCCAGAGCCCCGCCAAACGAAGATCATCATCAGCTACGACCTGAGCTTGAGTGATTCCAGGCCATGGATCCCCTTCTTCAGGATCCCATGGAGCGGCAAGCCACCACCACTCCTCGCCTTCGATCTCTTCACCGCACCGTCACGCTCGCCCGCATCGTTTTCTGCCACGCAAACGCCTTTACCCTTCCTGTCGACGTGCGCCTGTCTTTCGGTGGGCGTGCGCCTGTCGAAGCTCTCGAACAGGTCGGGCGAATGCCACAGTAGCTCGCTCGCCGACGAGTACCCCATCAGCCGGTGAAGCTTGCCGTCTTTGCCCATCCTTTCGTCGACGGTGTTGAAGGACGAGTTCCTTGACACGTACAGCGGCTGCCCGTCCTCGGTGCTGGTCGAGTGGCTGACGCCGAACGAAAGCCCGTACTCTTCGGAGTAGGACACCGGATCTGCCTGCTCGAAGCCGCCGGCGTTGTGGCCGCCGGCGGCAGCCTGGTGGTGAATCACGTACTCATCGGTGCTGTACTCATCGCCCCCGAATGGTGACTGCAGCTTCTTCCTGGCGGGGTCCTTGTAGGAGTAGGAGAGGACTTCGGAGCAGGAGCCGCACTGCAGCCGGCGTGTTCCTCTGCTCGGGACGGCGAAGTCGGTGGGCAGCTGGACCAGACTGACGCAGTTGGAGCAGATGACGAACGGAGCGCCACGTAGGACTGGCAGGCAGTGATTTCTGGGAGGAGGACGACGCCTGATCTCCATGATCGGTGGCCTGTGCATCGTTGCAGGTTCTTGTTTGCAGGATCTGTAACAGGGTGGCTGGCAGCTATGGCAGCACTCATGACGGCAAGGTCTCATTTCCGTTTGCACGTTGTGATGGAATGAATAAACCCTGTGCCGACGATATCTCACTGATGGCAGTCCACGAGGAGCAACCTGGCCAGACCTGCTTAGGCGAGACACATAGCCAGAATGCTTGGCAGCAGGATGATATGCTGCAAGAGGTGCACTGGATGTGATGGCTGCACGAGTCATGTGGCCATCTTGTTTGGAAGGGCGTGGAGGGCGGTGTGCCTTTGGCTTGCAGTCTGTAGGCTTATTGAACAATTCAGAAAGGTCGCCCTTCAGTTCATCCACTGTGTTCATGATCTTGGACTGAAGGGGCTCACTAGCCCTGAAGCTTTTCGACTGAAGAGAAGTCTGTGCAGAATGGAAATCAATCGAGTTTATTGATGATCGAAGATCACAAGACCGAGACAGTACCCTCACAAGATAACTCTTCTTCTTTGCTGCATGTTCGGCTCCGCCTGCTTCCTTCTGCTCAGGATCTTGCATACTGACTGCTGTTTTGCTCATCTCAGAAGAAATCATTTTATTTTCAGAGGCGTTCAAGGGGCATTCAGTATCATCATGTCCACTTACTCGGCAAGTCTCTGAACTCTCCATAGGCTGTTCCACGGTGTGGTTTTCTGTTTCACCGGAATGTAAATATGTACCATTTGCATTCAGGCTTGTCTGGTCAGCAGGACCTTCCACCCTCGAACTGGTATCCTGGCCTTCAAAATTGTGATTGCCCATTTTCTCGGTATCCTCAGCTGCCACAGCATTCTGCCCAGCCAGCATATCATCACCATTTTCACTGCTCCTTGTTCCATTGCTGTCACGCTCGGTGCTTGGAGCATCAGCATTGAAGGAACTCTCTGTGACAGCACCAATGGAGCCTTGATCTTTGTTTTGAGGAGGCACCCCATTGCTCACGGCGGTAGCAACCGAATAGTTGTCAGAGTCCTGGCGAACTTGTTTTGCAGCCACATGTTGGTCATTGCTGGCACGAATTTTAGCTGCAAAAGCACAAGGAGGGGCGCTTCAGAAATTATGAGCAAACAAATGATAAACTTTCTCAGCGAATTATCAAAATTACCTCGAAGGGTGGTGCCGCATCCGCCGCACTTGTAGACTGTAACATTGGGCGGTTCTGGGAGAATGTTCAGACACTTTGGGCATCTCACAAGGCGAAAACCTTCTGTGTTTGCCATCAATGTAGAAAGTACCAGAACATCACCCGCAGCTCACAGTTCCAGGCTGCGGTTACCAGTTAGCACTTAGCACCGAGACGCTAAGGCTGAGAAGAGTACCTTCCAAGTTCAGAACTTCAGAACTGCAAAAGTACAAAGGAAACGAGGATCAGAATCTCACCAACAGAGGAGGCTAGCAGTTTGGGATGGAATTAAAGCATAAAAATGTCATCTTCGTTAGCAGTCTACAGAGTAATTAAGATTAGCTGCTGATCAAGAAAAATAAATCTAAGGTGATACTGCCGCACATGTACTAGGTACTTCGTTTGCGCTTCAAAAATTGAAATGGTTAGGCGATTAGCCATTCTGGTCTACTTCCAAAACAAAAGTAGCCAAGTAGGAAACGCAAGAATTTCATTAACCAGAAAACAACAAATCTAAAAGCTTTATTCAAAAAAAAAAAACAAATCGAAAAGCTGGCTATTTCTTAATTTAGTCGTCAAAAGCTACTGATTATCCTAACGCCTCTGGCTTGTTCATAAATCATGAGGCCGCCAGGTATCCTCCGACCTCCGCTTCGCCCAGAACTCAGCCTCCAACAAATCAATCTATCAGAACTAACTCTTCTAGAAAAGCGTCACGATTTCAGTACCGTTACAGATACCGGCCGCAGATTGCAGAAGACCTCTTTCAGAAAAAAGAACTAAGGCTTGCCATGATGGCAGGTAGGTAGCACAAAAGCAGCCACGAAAGTCGGAGCAGGATCTCCAATTCCCCAAAACACGCGTTATCAAAAGACAGGGCAGGAAGACAATGAAGTTATGAAGGAGCCAGCTAGTCGGCATTACGAGCACCCCTACGTGTACACTCAGTTCAGAGAATTTTTTTTCTCCAACAGCTCAGGAGAACCGCACGTCGTTTCATTGAGGTACCAGAAATATTAAAGGGTTAGAGATCCGATACACACCCCACACCCTAGACACTAAGATACAGACTCGCCACTTAAAGATCAAGAACGACCAAAAGCCTCCGAGCATTAAGCTACAGCAGGCAGCGACCTGATAACGAGCTCATGGAGTTTGGAAGCCCCAGCCGAGCACCAAAGCCCCCCTCCGCGCTAATGGACCTAAGGACCTCCGGAACACTTGGCCTCTTATTATCAAAGACAGAAGTGTTGCGGTGCTTCCAAATCTCCCAAGCCACCAGGATTATTAAGGAATTGAGGCATTTACGTGTTTCTTTGGGGACAGCAGCAGTAGACCTCTTCCACCACCCTGAGAAACGAGTTACAGCAGACTGTGGTGCCAAATGTAGCAGCCCAAACTGATGCAAAACCAGGGACCAGACCTGTCGAGCAAAGACACAGCCCACTAGCAAATGATTTATTGTTTCATCCTCTTGATCACACAAGGGGCAAGACTCCGGATGTGGCAGATTCCTCTTTGCTAGTCGATCAGCTGTCCAAACCCGGTTGTGAAACACCAACCAAATGGCAGGAGAGCCCAGGTTTTCCAGATCCTTCTCCACGACCCAAACTTGATGGATCCAAGAAAGAAGGCTGCATAGGCAGACTTGCTACTATATGAACCATCCTGCGTTAACTTCCAATTATATCTGTTCGGGATCTCTGAATGCAAAATAATTTCGTCCACCCTATCCCAAATGTGGAGGTAATCGAGCAATACCTCTACTCTACAAGCTCCCCTAATATCTTGAACCCAACTTCTATTATGCAGAGCTTGGGCCACAATCCTTCTTTTAGCTGTTCGTTTTTGAATTGCATTGAACAAGTTAGGCGCTATTTCTACCACGGTATGCCCATCCAGCCATCTATCTGTCCAGAACAATATTTTCTCTCCATTTCCAACTATGGCATCAACTGCAACATTAAAGAGGGCCTGTGCTTTGTGAGGAACAACGATAGAAAGACCGGCCCAAGGCCTTTCAGCATTTGTCTTTTGCGCCCACAACCACCGAATCCTAAGTGCCCAACCAAGGAGCTCAACTGGTCTTTGTACCTTTTCCCAGGCTACCAGGCAATTGCCTCAATTGGCACGTTGGTGACCCTTCCAAAGGAAGCCTCGCCTCTTTTTGTCAATAGCCTTAAGCACCCATTTAGGAAGGTCTGGGGCTATTAAGATATATATAGGGACAGCAGTCAGCACAACCTTCACCATGACTAACCGCCCAACCCTGTTCATTAGAGAGGCCTTCCAGGGGAAGGCCTTTATCGAACAAGAGAGGACGCTTGCAGTGAGTGCCAATTCCTCATTATTCCGATGAATAGGGGAAACCAAACTCTTGGACAGGTTGGTTCTAAGACCGGAGGCGTGTCCAAACAATTCCAGGAGCTGTCTGACAGTGACCAGATCCAAATTGTGGGGTCTCAAGAATATGACTGCATCATCAGTGTCGGTGTTTCGAGTAAACACCAACTAGTAAATTTGTATTATTGCGCGTTAGGCCCGGATGGTGTGCTAAAAAGACACAAGGTTTATACTGGTTCGGGCTGAATGTCCCTACATCCAGTTCGTGGTTGCTGCTTGTGTTATTTTCACTGAAAGGTTCATAGTACGGGGTACAAACGGGCGAGAGAGGGACATGTCCTAAGTCTCTGATGGAAAGGTCGAATAGGTGCTGAGAGCTTGGTTGCTGCTGAGTTGTATGTTATGTGGTGCATGGTGTGTTGAATCGATCCATCCTCTTAGTGGAGTGCCCTGTCCTCCCTTTTATAGCTCAAGGTAGAGCAGGGATTACAGATGGGAGAAAAAAGAAAAACCAGAGGCAAAGAAGGTCTTTCGAATGTGCCGGGTCTTCCTTTTTCCTTTGAGCATGCCCTGCCGACATGGCAGACGGTGCCAGGGATAGCACATTCGGTGATCCTGATAGGGCCGTGCTCTGGCTTCGTTCAGCAAGTGGTCACGTCCCATCCTGCCCCGGCGGGCGGCGCGACGCACCAGGGTGCCGAGTCGCGACCCTACGGGGAGCAGACGACGTAGAGGCCCCACGCTCGTTACTGTAGATGACATGAGTTTCCTCCTGAACCGTAGTGGTTGTCGTATGTTTCCGTCAGGATTCGTGTCCGAGGGCAAATGCCGACGCCCATAACACTGTAGGACAAATGTCGGCGCCTACAACACTGTTTTGGCTCTGACATGCCTAGAAGGGCTTAAAGCGCCCGTCTGGTCATATCCTGATGGTACTTTTCTACAGACGTGCAGGGTATGGTCCTCGGTATTGCGGTTGACTTGAGTGTCCCGCCTTATCTGCATGCGTAGTTATGAAGGAGTAGCGCATAGACGTCGAGTGAGGCGGAGTCTGCCCGCAGACGTTGGACGAGGAGGAGTCTGCCCCCAGACGTCGGGTGAGGCGGAGTCTGCCCCTGGACGTCAGACGAGGCGGAGCCCAGCCCCTGGATGTCGGGCGGGCGAGGCGGAGCCAGCCCTCGGACGTCGGACAAGGTGGAGCCAGCCCTCGGACGTCGGGCGAGGCGAAGCCAGCCCTCGGACGTTGGACGAGACGGAGCCTGCCCCCAGACGTCGGGCGAGGCGGAGTCCAGCCCTCGGGGGTCGGGCGAGGCGGAGACAGCCTTCGGACGTCGGGCGAGGCGGAGGCTGCCCCAGACGTCGGGCGAGGCGGAGTCCAGCCCTCAGGGGTCGGGCGAGGCGGAGCCAGCCCTCAGGGGTCGGGCGAGGCGGAGCCAACCTTCGGTCGTTGGACAAGAAGTGTAGTTGCGTTCTTGTATGTTCGGAAGCATCAACGTTTGATGGTTATTAGCTCCTCCTCTTTGGATACCCCAGTATTCGGTCCCCGACAATCAACATAGCAGGAGACCCTGTGCCGTGCTTGCTGAATGGCTAGCGGCCGCATCAAACCCGCCAGAGTAGCAAAATTGACCAGGGAATTGAGGACATCCATAACGAGGATAAACAACATTTGTGACAGGAGGTCTTCCTATCTAAGACCAGAGTGATGCAAAATAGTGTCTTCAGGCACTCCATTAACCAGTACTTGTGTCGAGGAGGTGGATAGGATCAAGCAAATAAGGTCTCGCCACCGCTGACCGAACCCTACCTTGCACATGACTTTCAAGAGAAACGACCAAGAGACATAATCAAGCGTCTTGGAGATGTCTAGTTTAAGAAGGATATGCGCCTCCTTCTTATACAGAGATTTCACCATCTGTTGTACCAGCGTAAAGTTGTCATGAATCTTCCTTCCCCGCACAAAAGCGCTTTGGTTTGCAGAGATCAATGAAGGTAACAGCCGTGATTCAGAAGTCGCCTTATGAAAAATGGGGATAACACAGTTCAAAAAAAAAAAAAACGGGGATAACAGAGAGACCCTGCAGTGCAGACTCCCATGCCGAAGCTCAATTCACCAACTAAATCATGCTACCCGTGAGAAGAACCTCAGTTGAAAAGGCAGAGAGAGAGAGGGAGAGAAGGCGGCCAAGAACTCACCTTTCGAACAGGGTCCCCCTGGACGCTTCCTCCTCGTCGTCTACGCCTCTTGTCTCCTCCCAGCAGAGGCCGCGTCGTCGTCTCCTTCCTCTTGTTGCTACCTCCGGCCCTCTCGAACCCCAGTTCTTGGAAGTTATGACGCGCTCCCTTGAAGAGGCAACAAAAACCACCGGGCCACTAGTAGTAGTAGGAGTATAAAAAACACCACCGAGTCTCCGTTCCCGCGGCGAGGCCGAGGTAAGACTGTAAGAGCAGTTGACTAGTGGTATACAAGCAAGCGCTGCAGCGCTCCATCACCCGTGTGAACGGAGCTGCGGAGTGGGGACTGGGCAGGGAGAGGGAGAGGGAGAGGGAGAGCGCGAGGGAGACGGCCAGACGGGGCCAGGAAGGAAAAGGGGGCGAGCGTGCCGGCGTCCGGGTCCGCGGTCAAACGTGTGCGTGGTAAAACAACGTGACACAACAGGAGGGAGGCAGATGGGTTTGAATGGCTGGCCAGGGCTACGTTGACCTGACGACTTCTCTTTTCTCTGTTCCGCCGCTCGGTAGCCTCCTCCCCCTCTGTTCTGGCGCGAGACCGAGCCGCGTCGTGCGGGCGCCACCTCGTCTCACCCCGGCGCTTTTGACTGCACCCGTGGTGGTCTCCGGTTGCCGCCGTGACGGACACCGTGTGGGGCCCGACTCCTATCCACACGTGTGCCGCTGCTGAACGCTGGCGAGGCAGTGAACCACGGGTGGTTGGTCCCGTCCGTGGACTCTGCCGTGCAATTTGCCTGACTAGCTAGTCGAAGATTGAAGATGCCAGGACAGGAGCAGGAGAGGGTACTACTCCTCTGACCTCTCATCTAGAAGTTCTCCTCCTTGTCATTTCCTCTTCTCTCTTATCGATGTGCTCGTTGGTCGTTGGTACGACTTCAAGTCTGCCAAGCACCAGTAGGGTCTTGCTTAAGTCAAACTCAAACATAGGGCCGACTTCGCGAGGCAATGATCGCCTAGACTTGTTTCTGTTACGGTGCAGTACGTGTCGTCGTTCCCGGATCTGGAGAAGCGACGATTCTAGTGCAGCTGCTGCTTCCAGTTTTACCAGTCCAGTTGAGCGTCCTCGTGACCTCGTCCACAGCAGAGGGGAGCGAACGCAAAAACCATGAATTCAGGCGCGTGGATTGTTGGTGAGAGGGAGACCTCACGCCTTCACACGGGGCACCGCACGCCCATGTGCGCGATCGTGTACGCTGCGAGCCAGCGAGCGGTGAGCCCGCGTGGCCTGTCGCAGTTGGGCAACTTTCTCGGCACCAGCGCCACCGCTGCCGTGTATCCATCCATGGACATTTATCGGTGATAACTGCATCTGCTCGACAACTGATCGCCTTCACTTTGAGCAGATGATCACCTGCCGTTACCAAACAGTTACAGTACCTACTTATCCCAGATCGCCGAATTCAGGTCACGTGAACACTGGACTGCACCTCGGGTAGGCGACGAGGATCAAGACTACGCAAGCGCCAGGCACCTCAGCATCATCAGAGCTTCAGAAGTACTCCTACTAGTACTCCTGTTTGTACTGTACTAGTAGCTACTAGGTGTCCTACGCCTGGGCCCCGTCCGCGCATAGAATGTTATGGTCCACGACAGCAGTCTCCCGCTCTCCGTTAGCAGAACCGGCACGCACCACCACCCGCCGATAGCAGCAGCTGCACTGTGGTGTGGTGTGTAGAACGATGGCGATCGTTTGCTGGACGCCGGCAGAACATGACTTGGGTGGACGAGTGCCGGCCAGTGGCGCCATCAATTGCCCGGCGGAATCTGGTGGGAGTGAATGTAAACGAGGCATTCGTCATGTCAGGTCCCCTCGATATCAAACGCGAAAAATGCGCTGAGTTCACACATGGATAGTGGTGGCTACGGAGGTGTCTGGATCCCATCATTATCGTTCTAGGAGGTATTATTTGGAGGCGTCGTATGTAGTGTTTGAATATTAATAAAAAAATAAATTACAGAATCTGTCAGTAATCTATGAGACGAATTTATTAGGTCTAATTAATCCGTCATTAGCATATGTTTACTGTAGCACCACATTGTTAAATCATTGACTAATTAGGTTTAAAAGATTCGTCTCGTAAATTAGTCACAAACTGTATAATTAGTTTCGTAATTAATCTATATTTAATACTACATACATATATCAAATATCTGATGAAACAACAACTAAAATTTAGGAGAACAAACCAGACCATTGTCAAAATGGTTGGTCGCTGTACTACTACTACTAGTGCCAAAAACCGTAGGGCCCAGCTAAACAAAGGTCGCCCGAACGGCCGTCACGCGCAGGCGCACATCCGTGTACGGAGTATGGGTATATGGGCCTCCACTTGCGAGAGGTACACAAACAACGGACAAGAGGGAGAGAGACGAGGTCGCCTCCACCAGTACTCGTCACTGAATACCAGTAGGGTATTGCATCACTGAATGATTACAGATGGATCTATCCACGTGACATTCGGTTGTTTTTTCCCTGCTATCAACTGAATTTTTCCCATATATTTACACTATCTTCTACCTATATTTACATTAAATTATTACTATATTTACAATGACTTGTTAAGTGTAATTTAATGAACATAGTGGTGTAATTTGAGAACAACACAAATATATGCCAATTTTTTCAGAAAAATTTACAAATTATTTCTATGGATTCTAGATATCAGATAAATATATATCAAATTGTTCACAAATATCATCAAATTGTTCACAAATTATTCACAAATTTCAGAAAAAATACAAATATACATGTGGGCTGGGCGTACACGGTACATACGTGTATTCCGCTGGAGCTATACACGGGCGTAGACGCGGGCATACACGGACCAACCACGGACGTACATGCGTGCATTCTGGACGACTGGGACCTGGAAACGCTGGAGCACGAGCATGTGGTGGGGACCGGCAACCCGTCTCACGCGACCAACTGACGGAGCACCGCGACCGTACGATTCCTGATCTGGCGGTCACAAAATCGCATGTCGCAGAGGACTAAATCAACCCGACTGACTTATAGCAATTCTGTTACAGATAGTATAGTACATTCAGCGTCGGGGAAGTTAAAAGGGGTACCATCATTGCATAGCAAACAAAACAAGCTCGCTTTTCACTAACCCACCGGGCCAAAGCGACCAAACTCTGACCAGGCTGAAAGGGCCGCCGCTCTTTCATCTTTTCTGAATTCGTAATCCTCCGATATCTTTATATGTACAACTAAAGCATATCACGTTATTGACTATTCTGGTACACAAGAATACTAGCACTGAACAGAATGCTACCACGGCGAGTTTCCTCCTCCTGCTCCCGCACGAAAGCAACCGCGATGTGTCAATCAATAGTCCATCGGCAGCTCCCAGTCATCCTCCTGATGCCTCGCTTCCTTGCGGAGTTCTCGGCCACCGGACTTTCCCTGGCCATTTGCTCTCCTCCTCCCCCTCCTCCCCCCAATTCTACTGTACTCGTCAATCTCAGCACCAGGTCCGTGGATGTTTTGGGTGCCCAAAATGCCCTAAAATTCAGTTGACAGATACTTTCACTCAAAGTGTTTTTATCCAATTATCAGGGACAAATTCTAGGTTTATTAACATCTATCAGCAGCAGTCAGAATGCAGACCTGTGTTAACCGTTGAACCCGTGAGACAGCGTCTTCATGCACCACGATTGTATCAGAGACTATATCCAACACGTCTTCGACAAATAAACAGTATGTGCTTACCTGCAAAGGGAAGTATGTGGAAGTATGTGGTGTATTGAGACAGCAGCAGGATAATATTCAGCAGGTGTGTATGCACAACAAGATTTGTTTTCTAGTTCAATTCAATTATTACCAAGCTAGAAGGGACAATCGAAAGCCCAAATGAGTCAAGCTCAAGAGACTCCATCGCACCAGAGCTGATGTCAAATGTGAAACCACGCACCTAAGGAATAAAAAAGGGAACTTCAAAAACACCCGAATTCAAGTAGATCCTTTAAATGCTTTTGGAAATAAAATTACGCAGGTTACCTCTCTTTAAAGACCATATGGACTCACCTTGCCAACATTGCGTCGCCTGGAAGTTACGACATTGTAGCCCACCTAACAAGTAAGATTATCATTGTGAGGGACTTGAAACAAAGGAACCAATCCCTTTTTGTGTGAAATTGTACGTACAGAAAAAAACATTCAACAGAGGTTGTTGTTTAATGCGAAATTATCCGCTGAATAGATACAATTTGATGGCACACCACATGATTAATGAATCTTGTTCCAATGCAGAAAGCTGGCATACCAAGCTGTGCAATCCAACCAGTTTATGTTCATTATCGATCACAGATTCATTCTCAACAAGCACCACATCTCCAACCTATAAAAGAGATTTGTTCCGCACACATCAGCTGAATCAGTGGTACACTGGGTAAAGTAATACATTCTCCCACATGTTTATATTGACAATAGAAAAACACTATGTCGAAAAGGAAATCGAGCATTCACTGCTATCGCACCTGATATATGTCCTCAAAAAGGAATTTCTCTGCTTCACCTGAAAGTAAGCTTGGCCTCACTTCAACCAATGCAACAGCCCACTGAAGATAAATAGAATGGAATGACATAAAGAGAAGGTGATACCGTTTTAACCTTTAGGGAATCATTCCATCCTGCTTGTATTGTCATTATGATAACGCCTAACTCACTGTAGAAGCAGGTTTAACTTCTAGTATTAACCGCTCTCACGCCGCTGTAAACTTTAAAAAAAAAATCCAGCTTGTCTCGCTGTCAGTGTGGGTCCAGGTCCACATTTTATCGGCGCAACAGATTGCCTAGGGATTAGGAAAGTTTGCACTGGCAGATAAGGAAGGGAAATTAGAGTATTGTCATCACACAGAAATAGTTTTCTTCAAACAAGCAGAGATGGTCCTAAGGCTCACAATCAGCTCAAACAAAAGGGGACACAGAGTGTGGTGTATACAGTAAGCTAGGGCTCATCTATTTAGTTGTGGAGACTGGGGATCTTAGCAACCACTACTAGATTCTCCACAAGATTTTAGCCTATGGTTGTAGAGCATCAACAATGTTGGGATGTCTGCACGGCAAAGTTATTGAAGATTTGAATTTAAAAGTTAATGCAATAACATGACACTCGGTCATATGGACTGTTATGAATTTATGATCCTTGGATCATTTGGATAATTATCACCGGGAAGAAGGCTGCATGGCAGAGGCTTGGATGTTTCATTGGGATAAGAGGAGCATATGCATGAAAATGACTTGTTCTTTCTTCATGCTTGATTACAATGTAATAAGTGCCTCCTCTTTGATAGAGGCAGAGCCTCCCAATATATTTTCATTAAAACATTCTATATTAATTAGGATGAAATCAAAATAGATAAGATCGTATCTTAAAATTAATGATAGTTGATAGGTAAGGAATCATAGGAAGCCCTAGGCTGGCAAGCGCTACAATACAATACCATTGGACACAAAGGGGAAATTAAAAAGCTTCACCACCATCAAATGATACACTACCCCAAGTTACTTTTACTACCATAGTCTACCTTCTTTAATATAGTTAGATAGACGCAAATGATAAGGTCAGGGCTATCAGAAGTCAGTTCCTGGAGATGACCAACCAGGAAACTCAGGTGGGACTGATTATTTATATTGATAAGCGCACTAGCTGAGCTTTGAAATAACAGAGGTGTGTTGACCTGAAGATGGTGAAATGCTATAGCAAATTTTAATGTCTATCATTGTCTTTGCTTTGGTGTATAGCTTCATTTTCTTGACGAATTTAGAATCAAAATCCTACCTGTACCACTGGAGTTGTCTGTAATCTGTCAATGACAAACCACTGCTTTTCAGGTTTTACAGTCAGCTAGGATGTTTACTTTAACAAACCAAACATACTTATAAGTGGTGAATGCTCAAAATACAGCTAAGCCAAAGCCAGAATCCAAGCCCCTCTTTTGCCCCATTTCTCCAACTGGTGCATAAACTTCTCACTTCTTCCTGACCTTGCAAAATCTTCTTTACTGTACTAGGGGGCCTGTACGGACTATATGCACTTCCATGCAGTCAAACACCACTTCAGAATTTATGTTAGGACATATGTATTCTCTTAAAACATTTTTCTGCTCCACCATTGATGAATGATGATATATCAGGCCTATGTCCAAAGAGTTATTTAAACGCTACCTGTAGTACTACATGGACCTTTGAAACCCTCGCACCCTCCAATGAGCGAAGTGCCGAAGTCACAACAGAACCATATCACATGTTATACCGTCTATAAACAAATCACTGATTGATATGAGAAATCCAAGTCTAGTTATCTTGAATATTTTGAAACCAAAACAATGGTACATTAAAGAAAACAAACTAGTACACAATGAAATAGAAAACTCAGCTTAGCTGCCTGCAAATGTGAACTGGAAGTTTTTTCTAAACAAAAAAGTAGATAAAGCATTGTCATCGGCATTAGTTCAGCGACGTATCACGTATGTTACAGTAACAGTGTGTTTGGTTAGGGGAATCAAAACATTCTAGATGAGATGGTGCATCATGAGTCCATTCCTCAAATTTGGTGGAATGATTCAATTCCTCACACTAGCACTAATTATTAGTTTGTGAGGAATGGGGTGATGATGTATTAACCCATTCCATTCCTCAAACCAAACACCCTATAACAGTATCACGTTTGACATCTCAATTAAGAAACACTCAGAGTTAACGCCTGTGCAGCAATTACACTAAGCACATTACGCTGTAATCATTGGTCCTAGCAACGATACAGACACGAAAACGAATAAATTAACATGGTAACTTGAACTATATATTGTGAAACGCAAATGCTAATCGGCGCCCACGAGCTACCCAGTGTCACAGCACGCAGCTCGACAAAACCCAAAGAAAGCAAGTGCAGAGAGCAACAGCCCTCACGTACCGAGGCGGCGTCGATCCAGAGCTGCGACACGAACCCGAGGCTCCGCGCCGAGCTCACACTAATCACCTGCTTCGCGAGCAGAGCCGATCGCCTCGCCATCTGCCGCCGCCGCCGCCTCCTCGTACCACCCGCACTCCTCTCTGCCCCCCTCTCTCCATCGTCCTCATTGACAGACTCACCACCTTCCTTCGCATCCACAGCCACCACTGCTTCCTCCTCCTCCTCAAGCTCTCGCTTCAGCGCGAGGAAGTCGAAGCCGGACAGCGGCGCAGACGCGTCGTCCCGGGAGGCTGCGCCCGCGAGCGCGACGACGGCGCGGCTGCGGGCTGGCGTCGGGCCGTGCGCCAAGGCGGGTCCGGGCTTTGGGGTTGGAGCGGAGCTGAAGAGCGGGGGGAGGAGGCGCGCGCAGGCGCAGGAACACATCGCTGGAAGCCTGGAAGGCTGGAACTGACTGATCCAGTTCCAGTGGTCGATGAGGAGGTCCAGCGGAGACGACAGGATGGGTGGCGATAGAAATTGTTCCGAAACTGATCTGGAAAGGACTTTTTTTTTTCTCGAACACAATTGTACTTCCACGGCCCCCCTCGTAAAATAGTCTGGGTTCTCTTCGTCCCTAAATAATTATCGCTTTTAATTTCTGTGCTGTAAGTTTAACTAAATTTATAAAAAATGCTCGCAACATTTATATCTTCAAATAAATTTATTATAAAAATAGATTCAATAGCCTATCTAACGATATTAATTTTGTACCATAAATATTAATATTTTTTATATATATTTAGTCAAAGTTGTTTCTCAGAAAGCGAAAATGACAGCCTTCGTTTTTTTCTAAAGAATGTCTTTTTGACAGTAACACGGTCTTAAAAACACAACTTTGACCGTTACTTTTTGCTATAAAATATTTATAAAAATATAGTCAATATATACTTTTATGAAACTACATTTTGATATGTGTGGGGATATGGCTCCCGGTATCCACAAGACGAGACATGAGCCGCATCATCAGAGGTAGCCCGGCCCATAAGATCAAGACGTGCACGACGCTGCTCAGCATGCACCGCAAGCTATTGTATAGTACCAAATATGATACTTTACTTGTAACCCTACCCCTCCAGAGTATACAAGGAGGAGCAGGGGTCCCCTAGTGGACAGATCTCCATAGATCGATAGCTCGTTCGGATGGTAGCTTAAACAATGTTTTTTGGATTGTTTTGGATGATTGAATAATATTCTGTGAGAGAGAATAAGCTGAAACAAGCTGAAACAGGCCAGGACTATACCAGCTGAACGCGCACCGATATATCTCAATGCAATACATCAGAACACATGATGTAGGTATTACATCATACTAACGGCCAAACCTGTCGAAATCTTGTGTCTTGGTACTTGTATTACCATCTCGCTCCTGATCTCGCTCACCTTTACGACAAATCTACCATCATGGCATATCCCTCGATGGACTGTCGAGCATCTTTTGTCGACAGTTGGCGTGCCAGGTAGGGGTGTGCGCTTGATCCCATGGCGAGCCAGATGGACCTCAAATCCACAACGCGTTCTCGTCATCAATCTCGTGGAGATCCATATCGGTCCACGACGACGATTCATCGCTGGCTACACCAGCCCCCGCGACAGCAGATCCGATCTCGGAACCACCTCCGAGATCATCTTCACCAACAACTCACCGCCCGTCAGGTGCTCGCCGTCAACGCCAACCAAATAACGCCATACGTCACCGACCAGACTTTCTGTCTAAAGCTAAGTCACGTTTTAATATTCTTCTAAATATTCTCCAATCTCCGTATATCGCCATAATGTTTCTCCGAGCCGTTTTCTCCATGTTTGCTCTCCAAACGATTTTCCGAACCCCCGAACAGTCATGTTGATGCTCGGATGCCTCAGAGAGCGGCCCTATCTCCGCCTCCTTCCTACCGTGCATGAGCGTCGCCCTACGTGTTATGGGTGGTGGCGGCGGCTCCTTAGCGACGCTGTTCCTCCTACATGCGCACGGCTCCGCACTCGACGTTATGGACTATGGGCTAGCTAGGGCTGGAGACTCAGCTACATACTAACTGGTCAGACGATTTATATTAAATATAAATACATCTTCGCTCCAACTGATCGCCGAGCTATATACGCTATTTTTCTCTCTCCGGAGTTCATATATTTTTACATCATGTATTACCCGTTCTACATGTTTGTATTGCAGGATCATCGTCCAGGTGATCGGACCACCTGGTGCTCGGACTTCTCTGCTGATCAACTGGTCAGACCGCTTGGTTCATGGACTATGTCACCGACCAGTTGATCGGACTGTTCGCCGGTCGCTTCGACTCAATGCTCACTTCGCCGCCGACTAGTTGACCAGACTGTTCGTCGTTCGTGCTTCATCGCCAGCTACGCCGGTTACTCCTCGGCGCTCGGATTCTTCGTGCTCGAGGACTGTCGATGAAATATGGTCGGCAGTCTACCTAGAGGTATGCCCAAGGTAGTAGATTGTCGGCAGACAGGTGCGCAAGCTATGAACAAGATGATGACGCAAGACAGACATGAGGTTTTATCCGAGTTCGGCCGTGAGGCGTAATACCTACGCCCCACGTCGATTGTATTCTTTGTATGTCAATGAGATGTTTTTTAAAGGGTCCCCCGCCTTATATTATATAGTCAAGGCGGGGTTACAGATCTGAAACTAATCCTAATCGATTACAAGCGCCATAGGTGGCGGATAAGGATTTCTATTCTAACCGACCAGATCTTGCTTGATCTCCAAATCGCCTTGATTCCTTGCGGGACTCAAGCAGATTCATTGGACCGCATGCGTGCGTCTTCTAGTGAGCAGATCCCCTAGTCGCCACCCGAGCCTAGCCATAAGGGTATAGGGGTTAATACCCCCACGACTAGTCCCCTCGAGCACCATGTATTATCTTTGTGACACGCTGTTCGATCTCCTTCGACTAATGTGATCCGTCTTCATGTCATCTCCAATCGATTGAAACATTGTCCAACCGAATGTGCCAACATTCTAGTCAGAACAGAGAGCAGTAAACCACGATTATAGCCGAAGATTCCGGTTGTCCGAAGAATGCATGGTGCTCTTAAAGAAAAAAAGAAAAATATTTCTTTCCTTATCAAGTGTGCCCACTTGTATTTCTAAAAAGAAATGTAAGTGCCTCTTGGACAATAGTATTTCTGGCAATCAGTCAAAGCGTAGGGGTCGATAAGATAAACACATTCACCGCAAGGTGAAGTGTGCCCACTTAGTCCTCGAACCTGGTAGTAGGTGACGTAGGCACGTGGTGCCGTGGTCTAAAAAGAATTTCGATTAAGTTAAGAATCCAATAAATCGTCACGACAGCGATACAAGATGCATGCCGGCAGTGCATCGCATCGATGTAGTCCCCGAGCTTCTTTGGAAGGCGAGGTAAGAGCCTTGTAGTAAGGTCCAAATAAATGCCTCTCGATCAGTATATAAGTACAAATCACATGTAGCCGAGGAGAGCAATCTTGAGCAAAGGGAGAACAATCCCGAAAACACAAGCGGTGGTGAAGCGATCCCCAAAAACACGGTAGTTGTGCGGTGAAAGCTCTAGTTTGGTTTTGGTTAATTGATGAAACCCTAAGTGCTAACCTAGTTTATCAAGATGATTATGAGATAGGTAGCACTACTCCAAGTGATGAAGCAATGACAAAGATCATGACAATGGTGATAGCATGGTGATGATCAAATGCTTGAACTTGGAAAAGAAGAAAGAGAAAAACAAAAGGCTCAAGGCAAAGGTATAAAATGTAGGAGCCATTTTGTTTTAGTGATCAAGACACTTAGTGAGTGTGATCACATTTAGGATAGATAGCCGTACTATTAAGAGGAGTGTAACTCGTATCGAAAATGCGGTTATCAAAGTGCCACTAGATGCTCTAACTCATTGCATATGCATTTAGGATCTAGTGGAGTGCTAACACCCTTGAAAATATTTGTGAAAATATGCTAACACATGTGCACAAGGTGTTTGCAGGGTTGAGATGGGTTTGGGTCCCTCTCTCCCTCCCGCCGAGCTTATGCGGTGATTCAACGCTTTGGAAAAATGAAATGTCTATTTTCTATTGCGCCGGATGCAAAATTCTTAGTGGTTGGCACATTTGAGCAAGGGTGAAGAAGTTAGAGTTGAAATGGAGTTGGTCGAAATGATCTTTGGCGTCGGTCCTGTGGACCGGATTTGAATCAATCTGCCGGCACCGGACGCCGATCGCGTGCGTCGGTCGCGCCACTTCAATGACCTGAGAGGAAGGGTTGAGCACCGGACGCCGGTCTCTGCGTCCGGTCAAGGTGGACCGGACGCGTCCGGTCGAAGAAATACGCCTCGGGGAGCTTATTGAAACGGCCGGACGCCGTGGCTTCGGCGTCCGGTCGATTCTCAAGGAGCAGCGTCGGTCGAGGCCGATGACCGTTGAGTCTGGATACGTGGTGACATCAAGCGGCCGGACGGCCGAGAGCCGTCCGGTCCGTCGATCCGACCGAAGCGGCCCCGGTCGTAACGCAGCGTTTTGCCCCAATGAAGGGGTATAACGGCTCTATTTGATGGGGGCTCTATTTATAGCCCCATGGTCGGCTCAAGGAAAACCCTTGCACATTTTCATTGACATAGCAACCTTGTGAGCTTAGCCAAAGCCCTCCCACTCATCTCCATCATTGATCCATCATCATTGTGAGATTGGGAGAGAATCCAAGTGCATTGCTTGAGTGATTGCATCTAGTGGCACTTGGTATTCGTGTTCTTGCGTCATGGATTTCGCTTGTTTCTCTTGGTGGTTGCCACCACCTAGACAGTTGGAGCAAGCGGTGAAGGATCGGCACGAGTTGGTGATTGTTCGTGGCCGCCTTCGGTGATTGTGAGGGGAGTTGTACCTTCCCCGTGAGTGCCGAAAGGTAACTCTAGTAAATTGCTCGTGTCATTGAGTTACCTCACGTGTGGGTCGGTTCTTGCGGTGTCCTATCGTGTGGGACGAGGTTTGTGAAACACCTCTTAGCCGCCGAACCACCAAGTGTTGGTCGACACAACAGGGGACGTAAGCGTGTTGGCAAGCACGTGAACCTCGGGAGAAAATCGATTGTCTCTCTTCTTTGTCATTCTCCGGTGATTGGCTATATTCATCTTGTGATTGGTTCATCCCTACACGTTGGTATAATCACTCTACTCGCTCATTTACATTCTTGCAAACTAGTTGATACAAGCTCTTTAGTGTAATTAGAATTGAGAGCTTGCTTTATTATTTACATTCATCTAGTTGAGCTCTTTAGAGTAGCAAGGTTGAGAGCTCTTAGTGAGTAATTACATAGCTAGTTTGTGTGCCTAAGTATTCATTGCAACTAGAATTGTTGGATAGGTGGCTTGCAACCCTTGTAGAGCTAGAGCAAGTTTGCATTACGCTATTTGTCATACTAATCAAATTGCTCTAGTTGATTTGTAGATTTTTAAATAGGCTATTCACCCCCCCTCTAGCCATATTAGGACCTTTCAAGTGGTATCGAGCCGTGGTCACCGTTTGATTGAAGGCTTAACAACCTCGGTGTCAAATTATGGCTCAAGTTGTGTTCAACCATGTGGGGGGCAAACCACCATTCTTTGATGGCACAAGCTATGATTATTGGAAGAGAAAGATAAGTGTGTATCTTGGTTCAATCAATGATCAAGTATGGGATGTAACCGAGAATGATTATGCTATCATTAATCCCGACAATCCCACCAACCAAGATAAGTCTAACAAGCAATGCAATACAATGGCTCTCAACACCCTATACAATGCCCTTGATCCAAAGGTGTTTGAGCAAATCAAGGATTGTGAAAGAGCAAATGAAGTGTGGAGGAGATTGGAGGAAACCTATGAGGGCACACCGGCGGTGAAGAGTGCCAAGTTGTACATCCTCAAGGACAAGTTGACAAGTTTCAAGATGAAAGATGATAAGAGCATCTGGGAGATGTTCCATCGCTTGCAAGTCATTGTCAATGATTTGAAGGCTTTGGGAGAAAAGATCAAGAATGATGATGTCTCTCATCGGTTCTTGATGAGTCTACCTCAAAGGTTTGAAATGTTGAGAATGCTAATCATAAGAGAGGAGGATTGAAGGAGATCACCCCCAACCAAGTACTAGGTGAAGTCATGACACAAGAGACATACCGTGTGTGGAAAGGGAGGGGGATGACAAGGAGGACAAGAAGGAAGATGAGGACAAGAAGAAGAAGAGTGTAGCATTCAAGGCTAGCTCATCATCATCATACAAGAACAAGGGCAAGTCAAAGAAAGAGTCAAGTGATGATGAGGATCTTAGTGATATTGATGATGAAGCTATGGCTCTCTTTATGCGCAAGATGGGCAAGTTCATGAAGAAGAAAGGCTATGGTGCAAGAAAAGAAGAGATCATACCAAGAGCAAAGAATATGTGAGAAGATGCTATAATTGCAAGAGTCCCGATCATGTGGTAGCCAATTGTCCTTACAATAGTGATAATGATGAAGATGAGAAGAACAAACACAAGAAGGACAAGAAAGAAAAGAAGGAGAAGAGGGAGAAGAGAATGACCTTTCAAAAGAAGAAGAAGGGTGGAGGCTATGTGGTCACTTGGGATAGTGATGGCTCATCGGATAGTGATGACTCTAGTGATGATGGCAATAAATCAATCAAGAAAGCACTAGCAAGCATCGCCATCAACGACAAGCCCTCCATCTTGACACTCCATCAACGTGCCTCATGGCAAAACCTACCAAGGTAAAATATGATGTGAGTGATGATGATGAGTATGAAAGTGATGCTTGTAGGAGTGATGATGAGGAGGAGGAATACTCCAAGGAGGAGCTCATGGACATGTGTGAGCAAGTGCATACTTGCTTTGAGATGAAGAGAAAGGAGTGCAAGGAATTGAACAAGAGAGTCAAATTTCTTGAGCAATCCTTTGATGAGCTCAATGCCACTCATGAGGGGCTAGTGGATGCCCATGAGAAGCTTGGCAAAGCTCACTCTAAGCTTGAAAAGGCTCACTCCTCTCTCATTGAGCAAATCAAGAAGGAGGAAGCCAAGGAGGAGCAAGTGATAGTTACATGTGATGTGGGACTAACATGTGATCTTATTAATGAATCTACTTATAAGCCTATTGCTATTGCTCCCACTAACCCCTCTTGTAGCACAACCATTACCACTCCACCTATGAATGATACATCACTAATGGTGGAAAATGAAACCCTCAAGAAGGAGGTGAATGAGCTCACTCGTGCCTTAGGCAATGCCTATGGTGGAGATGCCCGCTTGCTAAAGTGCTTGGGTAGCCAAAGGTTTTCTCTCAACAAAGAGGGATTAGGCTATACCCCCAAAGTTATTGAAGATTTGAATTTAAAAGTTAATGCAATAACATGACACTCGGTCATATGGACTGTTATGAATTTATGATCCTTGGATCATTTGGATAATTATCACCGGGAAGAAGGCTGCATGGCAGAGGCTTGGATGTTTCATTGGGATAAGAGGAGCATATGCATGAAAATGACTTGTTCTTTCTTCATGCTTGATTACAATGTAATAAGTGCCTCCTCTTTGATAGAGGCAGAGCCTCCCAATATATTTTCATTAAAACATTCTATATTAATTAGGATGAAATCAAAATAGATAAGATCGTATCTTAAAATTAATGATAGTTGATAGGTAAGGAATCATAGGAAGCCCTAGGCTGGCAAGCGCTACAATACAATACCATTGGACACAAAGGGGAAATTAAAAAGCTTCACCACCATCAAATGATACACTACCCCAAGTTACTTTTACTACCATAGTCTACCTTCTTTAATATAGTTAGATAGACGCAAATGATAAGGTCAGGGCTATCAGAAGTCAGTTCCTGGAGATGACCAACCAGGAAACTCAGGTGGGACTGATTATTTATATTGATAAGCGCACTAGCTGAGCTTTGAAATAACAGAGGTGTGTTGACCTGAAGATGGTGAAATGCTATAGCAAATTTTAATGTCTATCATTGTCTTTGCTTTGGTGTATAGCTTCATTTTCTTGACGAATTTAGAATCAAAATCCTACCTGTACCACTGGAGTTGTCTGTAATCTGTCAATGACAAACCACTGCTTTTCAGGTTTTACAGTCAGCTAGGATGTTTACTTTAACAAACCAAACATACTTATAAGTGGTGAATGCTCAAAATACAGCTAAGCCAAAGCCAGAATCCAAGCCCCTCTTTTGCCCCATTTCTCCAACTGGTGCATAAACTTCTCACTTCTTCCTGACCTTGCAAAATCTTCTTTACTGTACTAGGGGGCCTGTACGGACTATATGCACTTCCATGCAGTCAAACACCACTTCAGAATTTATGTTAGGACATATGTATTCTCTTAAAACATTTTTCTGCTCCACCATTGATGAATGATGATATATCAGGCCTATGTCCAAAGAGTTATTTAAACGCTACCTGTAGTACTACATGGACCTTTGAAACCCTCGCACCCTCCAATGAGCGAAGTGCCGAAGTCACAACAGAACCATATCACATGTTATACCGTCTATAAACAAATCACTGATTGATATGAGAAATCCAAGTCTAGTTATCTTGAATATTTTGAAACCAAAACAATGGTACATTAAAGAAAACAAACTAGTACACAATGAAATAGAAAACTCAGCTTAGCTGCCTGCAAATGTGAACTGGAAGTTTTTTCTAAACAAAAAAGTAGATAAAGCATTGTCATCGGCATTAGTTCAGCGACGTATCACGTATGTTACAGTAACAGTGTGTTTGGTTAGGGGAATCAAAACATTCTAGATGAGATGGTGCATCATGAGTCCATTCCTCAAATTTGGTGGAATGATTCAATTCCTCACACTAGCACTAATTATTAGTTTGTGAGGAATGGGGTGATGATGTATTAACCCATTCCATTCCTCAAACCAAACACCCTATAACAGTATCACGTTTGACATCTCAATTAAGAAACACTCAGAGTTAACGCCTGTGCAGCAATTACACTAAGCACATTACGCTGTAATCATTGGTCCTAGCAACGATACAGACACGAAAACGAATAAATTAACATGGTAACTTGAACTATATATTGTGAAACGCAAATGCTAATCGGCGCCCACGAGCTACCCAGTGTCACAGCACGCAGCTCGACAAAACCCAAAGAAAGCAAGTGCAGAGAGCAACAGCCCTCACGTACCGAGGCGGCGTCGATCCAGAGCTGCGACACGAACCCGAGGCTCCGCGCCGAGCTCACACTAATCACCTGCTTCGCGAGCAGAGCCGATCGCCTCGCCATCTGCCGCCGCCGCCGCCTCCTCGTACCACCCGCACTCCTCTCTGCCCCCCTCTCTCCATCGTCCTCATTGACAGACTCACCACCTTCCTTCGCATCCACAGCCACCACTGCTTCCTCCTCCTCCTCAAGCTCTCGCTTCAGCGCGAGGAAGTCGAAGCCGGACAGCGGCGCAGACGCGTCGTCCCGGGAGGCTGCGCCCGCGAGCGCGACGACGGCGCGGCTGCGGGCTGGCGTCGGGCCGTGCGCCAAGGCGGGTCCGGGCTTTGGGGTTGGAGCGGAGCTGAAGAGCGGGGGGAGGAGGCGCGCGCAGGCGCAGGAACACATCGCTGGAAGCCTGGAAGGCTGGAACTGACTGATCCAGTTCCAGTGGTCGATGAGGAGGTCCAGCGGAGACGACAGGATGGGTGGCGATAGAAATTGTTCCGAAACTGATCTGGAAAGGACTTTTTTTTTTCTCGAACACAATTGTACTTCCACGGCCCCCCTCGTAAAATAGTCTGGGTTCTCTTCGTCCCTAAATAATTATCGCTTTTAATTTCTGTGCTGTAAGTTTAACTGAATTTATAAAAAATGCTCGCAACATTTATATCTTCAAATAAATTTATTATAAAAATAGATTCAATAGCCTATCTAACGATATTAATTTTGTACCATAAATATTAATATTTTATATATATATTTAGTCAAAGTTGTTTCTCGGAAAGCGAAAATGACAGCCTTCGTTTTTTCTAAAGAATGTCTTTTTGACAGTAACACGGTCTTAAAAACACAACTTTGACCGTTACTTTTTGCTATAAAATATTTATAAAAATATAGTCAATATATACTTTTATGAAACTACATTTTGATATGTGTGGGGATATGGCTCCCGGTATCCACAAGACGAGACATGAGCCGCATCATCAGAGGTGGCCCGGCCCATAAGATCAAGACGTGCACGGCGCTGCTCAGCATGCACCGTAAGCTATTGTATAGTACCAAATATGATACTTTACTTGTAACCCTACCCCTCCAGAGTATACAAGGAGGAGCAGGGGTCCCCTAGTGGACAGATCTCCATAGATCGATAGCTCGTTCGGATGGTAGCTTAAACAATGTTTTTTGGATTGTTTTGGATGATTGAATAATATTCTGTGAGAGAGAATAAGCTGAAACAAGCTGAAACAAGCCAGGACTATACCAGCCGAACGCGCACCGATATATCTCAATGCAATACATCAGAACACATGATGTAGGTATTACATCATACTAACGGCCGAACCTGTCGAAATCTTGTGTCTTGGTACTTGTATTACCATCTCGCTCCTGATCTCGCTCACCTTTACGACAAATCTACCATCATGGCATATCCCTCGATGGACTGTCGAGCATCTTTTGTCGACAGTTGGCGTGCCAGGTAGGGGTGTGCGCTTGATCCCATGGCGAGCCAGATGGACCTCAAATCCACAACGCGTTCTCGTCATCAATCTCGTGGAGATCCATGTCGGTCCACGACGACGATTCATCGCTGGCTACACCAGCCCCCGCGACAGCAGATCCGATCTCGGAACCACCTCCGAGATCATCTTCACCAACAACTCACCGCCCGTCAGGTGCTCGCCGTCAACGCCAACCAAATAACGCCATACGTCGCCGACCAGACTTTCTGTCTAAAGCTAAGTCACGTTTTAATATTCTTCTAAATATTCTCCAATCTCCGTATATCGCCATAATGTTTCTCCGAGCCGTTTTCTCCATGTTTGCTCTCCAAACGATTTTCCGAACCCCCGAACAGTCATGTTGATGCTCGGATGCCTCCAGAGACGGCCCTATCTCTGCCTCCTTCCTACACGTGCACGAGCGTCTGCCCTCTGTGTTATGGGTGGTCGGCAGCGGCTCCTTAGCGACGCCTGTTCCTCCTACACGTGCACGGGCTCCGCACTCGACGTTATGGACTATGGGCTAGCTAGGGCTGGAGACTCAGCTACATACTAACTGGTCAGACGATTTATATTAAATATAAATACATCTTCGCTCCAACTGATCGCCGAGCTATATACGCTATTTTTCTCTCTCCGGAGTTCATATATTTTTAGATCATGTATTACCCGTTCTACATGTTTGTATTGCAGGATCATCGTCCAGGTGATCGGACCACCTGGTGCTCGGACTTCTCTACTGATCAACTGGTCGGACCGCTTGGTTCATGGACTATGTCACCGACCAGTTGATCGGACTGTTCGCCGGTCGCTTCGACTCAATGCTCACTTCGCCGCCGACTAGTTGACCAGACTGTTCGTCGTTCGTGCTTCATCGCCAGCTACGCCGGTTACTCCTCGGCGCTCGGATTCTTCGTGCTCGAGGACTGTCGATGAAATATGGTCGGCAGTCTACCTAGAGGTATGCCCAAGGTAGTAGATTGTCGGCAGACAGGTGCGCAAGCTATGAACAAGATGATGACGCAAGACAGACATGAGGTTTTATCCAGGTTCGGCCGCCGTGAGGGCGTAATACCTACGTCCTACGTCTGATTGTATTGCTGTATGTCAATGAGATGTTTTTTAAAGGGGTCCCCTGCCCGCCTTATATAGTCTGGGGGGCAGGGTTACAGATCTGGAAACTAATCCTAATCAGTTACAACTGCCATAGGTGGCCGGATAAGGATTTCTATTCTAACCGACCAGGATCTTGCTTGATCTCCAAATCTGCCTTGATTCCTTGCGCGGGACTCCAAACAGATTAGCTGGACCGCGCGTCGTCTTCTAGTGAGCCAGATCCCCTAGTCCGGGCCAGCCCGAGCCTAGCCATAAGGGTATAGGGGTTAATACCCCCACAGCTAGTCCCTGAGCACCATGTATTATGCTGTGACACGCCGTTCGATCTCCTTCGACTAATGTGATCCGTCTTCATGTCATCTCCAACTGATTGAAACATTGTCCAACCGAATGTGCCAACATTCTAGTCAGAACAGAGAGCAATAAACCACGATTATAGCCGAAGATTCCGGTTGTCCGAAGAATGCATGGTGCTCTTAAAGAAAAAAGAAAAATATTTCTTTCCTTATCAAGTGTGCCCACTTGTATTTCTAAAAAGAAATGTAAGTGCCTCTTGGACAATAGTATTTCTGGCAATCAGTCAAAGCGTAGGGGTCGATAAGATAAACACATTCACCGCAAGGTGAAGTGTGCCCACTTAGTCCTCGAACCTGGTAGTAGGTGACGTAGGCACGTGGTGCCAGGGTCTAAAAAGAATTTCCAGTTAAGTTAAGAATCCAATCGTCGTACAGGCGATACAAGATGCACCGGCAGGTGCATCGTACCGATGTAGTCCCCGAGCTTGCTGGAAGGCGAGGTAAGAGCCTTGTAGTAAGGTCCAAATAAATGCCTCTCGACTGTATATAAGTACAAATCACATGTAGCCGAGGAGAGCAATCTTCGAGCAGTGGTCAGAACAATCCCCGAGCACAGCAGTGGTCGAAGCAGTCCCCGAGCACGGTAGTTGTCTGGTGAAAGCTCTAGTTTGGTTTTGGTTAATTGATGAAACCCTAAGTGCTAACCTAGTTTATCAAGATGATTATGAGATAGGTAGCACTACTCCAAGTGATGAAGCAATGACAAAGATCATGACAATGGTGATAGCATGGTGATGATCAAATGCTTGAACTTGGAAAAGAAGAAAGAGAAAAACAAAAGGCTCAAGGCAAAGGTATAAAATGTAGGAGCCATTTTGTTTTAGTGATCAAGACACTTAGTGAGTGTGATCACATTTAGGATAGATAAGCCGTATTATTAAGAGGAGTGTAACTCAGTATCGAAATGCGGTTATCAAAGTGCCACTAGATGCTCTAACTCATTGCATATGCATTTAGGATCTAGTGGAGTGCTAACACCCTTGAAAATATTTGTGAAAATATGCTAACACATGTGCACAAGGTGTTTGCGAGGGTTGAGATGGGTTTGGGTCCTCTCTCCTCCCGCCGAAGCTTATGAGGGTGGATTCAACGCTTTGGAAAAATGAAATGTCTATTTTCTATTGCGCGGATGCAAAATTCTTAGTGGTTGGCACATTTGAGCAAGGGTGAAGAAGTTAGAGTTGAAATGGAGTTGGTCGAAATGATCTTGGCGTCGGTCCTGTGACCGGGACTTTGAATCCGTAAGCACCGGACGCCGACCGCGCGTCTCGTCCATGCGCTGACTTCAGCGGACTGAGAGGAAGGTTGAGCACCGGACGCCTGGTTCTGCGTCCGGTCAAAGGTGGACGGACGCGTCCGGTCGAAGAAATACGCCTCGGGAGCTTATTTGAAACGACCGGACGCCGGCTGGCTTCAAAGCCGTCCGGTCGATTCAAGGAGCAGCGTCGGTCGAGGTGATGACCGTTGAGTCTGGATACGTGGTCGACATCAGCGGCCGGACGCCGTCGAGCCGCGTCCGGTCGATCGACCGAGCGAAGCCCGGTCGTAACGCGTTTTGCCCTTGATGAAGGGGTATAACGGCTCTATTTGATGGGGGCTCTATTTATAGCCCCATGGCCGGCTCAAGGGAAAACCCTTGCACATTTTCATTGACATAGCAACCTTGTGAGCTTAGCCAAAGCCCTCCCACTCATCTCCATCATTGATCCATCATCATTGTGAGATTGGGAGAGAATCCAAGTGCATTGCTTGAGTGATTGCATCTAGTGGCACTTGGTATTCGTCGTTTGCTATGGATTTCGCTTGTTTCTCTTGGTGGTTGCCACCACCTGAGACAGTTGGAGCAGCGGTGAAGGATCGGCACGAGTTGGTGATTGTTCGTGGCCGCCTTCGGTGATTGTGAGGGAGTTGTACCTTCCCGTGAGTGCCGAAAGGTAACTCTAGTAAATTGCTCGTGTCATTGAGTTACCTCACGTGTGGGTCGGTTCTTGCGGTGTCCTATCGTGTGGACGAGGTTTGTGAAACACCTCTTAGCCGCCGAACCACCAAGTGTTGGTCGACACAACTGGGGACGTAAGCGTGTTGGCAAGCACGTGAACCTCGGGAGAAAATCGATTGTCTCTCTTCTTTGTCATTCTCCCGGTGATTGGCTATATATTCATCTTGTGATTGGTTCATCCCCTACACGTTGGTATAATCACTCTACTCGCTCATTTACATTCTTGCAAACTAGTTGATACAAGCTCTTTAGTGTAATTAGAATTGAGAGCTTGCTTTATTATTTACATTCATCTAGTTGAGCTCTTTAGAGTAGCAAGGTTGAGAGCTCTTAGTGAGTAATTACATAGCTAGTTTGTGTGCCTAAGTATTCATTGCAACTAGAATTGTTGGATAGGTGGCTTGCAACCCTTGTAGAGCTAGAGCAAGTTTGCAT